TGTAAGCCTTGACGCCCTTCTGTAGTAGCATTATGGCTATATTATCGTTTTTCTGAAAAGCGGCTATGTTTAGTGCAGTACCATATTGCCTAGATCGGACATTGATATCTCCTCCATCCTCCAATAGTCGCCCAACTACCGCCCCTTGCCCAAACCATGTTGCCATCATCAGATGTGTCCAATCCTCTGGGAACTCATTCCATCCCTGGGAACCGAACCAGTACACCTGAAACCATCTCAGAAATCGTTCAGACCCAGTTTCACAAACCTTCCGTGTCAATTCGAATAATTCCATTTGCCGATCCTGCGAATCCCGAAAGTGGTCTGCCCAGTGTCTCGCTGTGTAATCGAGAAGGGGATATTCCAGAGCATTTCTCTCAGCCGCTCTTCTTTTAACCTCGTCAGGAGCACCGATCTCTGGAGAGCCGTTTTCAAACTCCTCTAACAAAAGATAGGTGAGACAAATGTCAGCCAGTGTAAAGTTAGAATCTTTGTGACACAGGGTATACTGCCAGTTTCCTTGGCCGGGTGAAGATCCTTTAATGAGGAACTCCCTTGCGGTTTGGTGGACGAGGTAGATCTTCGAGTCAATAATCCGCACGAAATGCCCACACAGATTCTTTATAGTTCTCTCAAACCCGGGGGGATGTCCCCGGAGGTCCTTGATCCCATCGGAATCCCGCCTGATTTTGAACGCGACATTCATTTCCCGAAGTGTAAGGGGTCTTGCGGCTGCTACCACAATCTTCAGTATTTGGCGAGCTTTGTCAGGGTGCGTGCTTTTATCGAGAATTTTAGTGTATAATTCCACAAGATCACGCGGTGCAGTTGAGACGATGGTAGTAAACTCCTCCTGCGAATCATCCTGACTATCCTTCAACATTTCAAGAATAATAGCAACCCAAATGAATGTCCTATCGGCGGAAGTTTCGAGAAGACCCCGCAGGTAACCCAACTCCCCAGGTCGTCCCCAGTACAACTCTAGGTCATTAATGCCCTCATCTATAACACGAGTGACGTCGGCAGTAATGGACTTGACCTCGTCCTCCCCCTTCAGCCGGATCGTTGTTCTGGGTGAGCCAAGACCTCTTTCGATATTGTGGTAAGGGCGACTTGTAATAAGGAATTTTAATCGTAAGTTGGAATTTTGAGACTTAGGGAGACTAGCCAGAAGACGCATAAGTCGAGCTTGAGTCACCTCCTCACACTCGTCCAAGGCATCCACTACACAAATAACATCGTCGCACTCTCCCCCCGCTACCACCTTGACCAAAATATTCCACAATGTGTCGACCTCCTGAGTAAATTTGCTACCTTTAGCCCTAAACTCCTCCCTTGCGAAACGAATGAGGCGCTCTCTCCGTCTGAAAATCTGATGTAGTATGGCGCAAAGAGCAAACGTTGCCCTCTTCTGTTCATCGCTGTCATCTTTGAAAAAGAAATAGCAAATAATAGCGTCCGTTTGCATTTCCAGATGCTCTACCAGAAACGAAGCAATAACCGATTTACCGCAACCAGGGTCCGCCGATAGCCAGAGGAGACCAGGGGTGCTTTTCTCCAACCAGTCCTTATACTTTGGATGCTCCGTAACCCATGTGCATGTTCCCTCGACTGGCTCCCGAACCCGACTTTGGTGCTCCCCGTAGTCAGATGTGTAGAGGCATTGCAAGATTTCGGCGCAGTCCCCGGGCGAGTTCGTGGACGCCTCTCCGTAATAAGTATTGTTGGTCGTGTTACCCGAGTTCGTGATGTTATGAGAACCGGTATTGCCACTATGATCGCCTTGGATGCTGGTGTTGATCGCAGGGCTAGAGGCAGAGTTACTGACGCTGACGATTAGAAGCACCAAAACAGAGTATACAAGTGACATTGCAGGACCATACCGCTGGTGTGAGGAATTGTCCTCAAAAGGGGTGCCTGATCGTCGGCTGTTCATGCTGTCGATTTGTTCTTGAATCGCGATAAGTTGCCAGCGGGTATTGTGTGTGGAGAGAAAGCATCTGATACTCGGCAGGATGGTTTACAACCAGTGTGAGGAAGAATGGAAAAAACAGAAGGGGAGCCTAGAGACCGCACTCCCCAGAGATTGTAGAAGAGCAGGCATGGAAGGCAGCGTCTTGGCCACCCCACGCTTCGCTATTATACAAGTACTACCAGTGCGAGTATCCCTCTTGTCACATAAAACAAGCACCCCCCCACTTGCAGTTAACCCCACATCTGACCTGCAGATCCCGGAAACAACCTTCGAACCGCCAATAGATATTTACCCACTCACTTATCACACCCAGGCAAAGACAGATGATATTCAGAATTAGGAAGGGTAAGAGATGGTTAGGGATGGAGAGAGAAGAAAAAAAGGTCTTGGCCCGCATGGGACAGGAGATGAATCGCCAATAGTGGGCACTACTCGAGTAATGGAACGGGGTGAATCTTCAGACATTGAGACTCCGACAAAGCGCGGCGAATATGAGATATGAGTTCCAAACAGGACCAAAGAGAAGGCAAGAATAAACCCAATAGGCAGCCCAGGTCACGGAACGGGATGCAAAAAAAGCAAAACAAACCACGACACCCGCATTCCTACGTGTAGACTATCAACCAATAATAGGACTCCCGCACCTGTAGCTGAGCCCATACGTACTCGAGTACACTACTGAACCCTACCAACATAACATATACCGTATCCACCCCACAACTGCCGGTATGATAACCTATCTACAACCAATACAGTGCCATCATCTCTCTGACCCCGATGCTCTGGGAACATTAAGACCGCACTAACTTGAATTTCTCCATTTTATCATACATAATGGCCGACCAAGGGAGAGCTCACTTGCAACGTTTATGTATGGACTATCCTCCACCCGAGTAATTGCACTCGTGAAGTGTACTCGTACTCAGCATGGCCCCACAAGGCGTCGAGCACAAGCGCCCGCTCAAGACTCCCGCTAGTGTCAGTTCACAGTAGTGCTTTGCCCTCCGCACCCGTACCGTAGTCCTTTCCTTCCTCTATGCCTGCCTTCCCCGCACCATCCCATGGCGGTCACGTCTCCGGCGCAGTGGGCACTCCCCGAGACCAGACCAAAGAGCATAATAACGTATGGCGTCGTGGGCATAGGACAGCGACCTCATCAAATAATCCAGACATACTTTTGCTTCCTTCCAGGACAGCACATAGTCCTTGGGTATAGAGACCCCCCAATTCACCATAATGAGTAGTCTGGAGAATCACGCGAGTGTAGTACCGGAACCATACCGTACGACCACCGGCCCCCGAGATCTCAAGAGCGCGGAAAACAGTTTACCCCATTCGTAGCCAATATAGCGCCCACAGCCATAACACTCGCCTCCGTAAACGTAGAGAGTTAGGAGGAAGCCCCCTTTCCCTCCTTCGCACCCCCGACCAGTCGCAAAGACCTCAGCAGCGATCACCACAATACCCAATCGCCAGTTCCCAATAGCACCGCATCCACAAGTAGGTTCCATCCCGGTAATAGCCACAATCTCCGATAACACCCAGACATCCCCCTCTCCTTTACGCGAATGGCCAAATTCGGTGCCCAGATTGGAGGACTTCCCCGTGCGATAGGAACCAAGAAGAAAAATCTAGATTCTGTAGAAAGAAATAAAGAAAAGGAAAAAAAAGATGTTTTAAATTTCTAGATCATGATCATTACAAGTAAAAACAAAATTACACATATCATGATACAAGGAGGAAAATGATTTTCCATCGGCTTGCGTCCCACCAGCTAGCCAGCCGCGGCACTAGTCCATAACTTTTCGGTTCCTCCAGCCCGTGTATCATACGATACTGGGGAAGAATCCTCACCGTAAACCAATTTCTGGAGAATTGTGGCCTTGTTCGTCGCCAGTAGGACAGAATTACATTTTAGAAATTAACTTATGCCAAGACCACCTCGGAATCCCTTTCCGGATAGATCCTAACGGGAATTCTTCCTATGTCTCGAATGCGCACGACTAGAAGAGGGGGTTGTGCAACCACTCCCCCCCAATACCCAGTATTACCAGAGCCAAGCCTGAGGTGCCGATCCAGGTGATGAACGATACGATATAATATTCAGACCCAAACCAGGAAAAACAGAGGATTTCGGCAATTATTCCATTATCCTACAGAGATCATACCCTTCACCGTACGAGCAGCAACCACGATATTCACACCCAATCTTTTCGAGAGAAACACTGTCAGCCAGTCAATCCCAATTTCTCAAAGCGATCGATTGCAAAGATGTCGACCAAAAGGACGCAAACAAAAACACTTCGGAATAAATCCTTGAAATTCCTATTTTTTCTCTTCATCTTCCACCGCCCTGCGTATCGTACAGTATGTCAGACATGACCCGCGTAGGTCCCGCACAACCCAGATTGGGAGCCTGGAACACGATCATGTCATGTCATACTTATTCACGCCCAATCCAGCCCGGACCTCAACCAAGGAGTGAATTCCAACGCCCAGTCCTGCACTTGCCAAGGTGCATATTCTTCCTCCCATCTCCTCTTACATATCATACGAGGAACCATTCGACGATACTTCACGATGAGGAATCGAACCTCCGGGTTCCTGGAAATTTCCCGGGGGTAAGTGGTGCATAACTTACCCGTTGAACTTGACGAGAATGGTTTATTGCTGAATTATTAATTATTATTGTTGTTATTCACTGGTTATGTCGTACGGGGGTATGATATGACAGGTGCATCGCAAAAATACCGTAGGCACGCTGATTGATGATAAGATAAGATAAGATGATTGCGTTTAAAGGAATGATTTGCAGGTGGAATTGCGATGGGGGGAGGCACTCGAGTGTGGTTGGCCGGGTTTTCCAAAATTTAAGGAGGCGCCTATGCGTTGATAGGTGTACTCGTACTAGTATTAGACCACAGGGATGCCACAGTGCGAGTGTTCCTATCATATCATTCATACTCCAAGTTACACTACGCTACGATAAGACATCACCCGATTTCCGAATGAGAATCCATGAGCTGAGCTAATCATTCCGGTAGGGTAACCCAAACCATCATAAATTCCATCCATCTAAGTTATCAAATATGATATCATACATCTATAAACAGATCGCAGCAGACAACAGAGCCAAGGAAAGCCAAAGGAAACTGATCCGATGCAACATTCCAACCTCGTGACTAAAAAAGACAAAAACGCGAAAGAGAAAAAAACAGTCAGCAACAATTCTCCACTTCTTCATCCCCACAGCAATACGATAAAATCTACCAGCCTGGATTAAGCGAAACGGCGACTTACGACCCACTGCTCGTAGGTGCAGCCCCAGACGGAGCCGCGGAACCGGGAGGCGCACCACCACCCATGCCCCCCTCATTGGCAACCCCTCCATTGGCAGTCAAAGTGACAGCGCTGGAGACAGTATAGTTCGCGGAAACATCCAAGCCGACGGTGATCCACGCCAAGATCCCATCCTCAACCCCATCTCCCAAAAGCGCGTACTCCATAACCGGATCCATGCTGTCCGCCTCCTGCGCCAGTATCGTGTCGTTCGTGTTTTGTGTGATCGCCTGCGTGTTCTGGCTGTAGGGGTCGACGGCAGAGACGGCAGAGATGAGGGATTGGTCGAAGAAGAATTGCCCGACGTGCGCGTTGCGGCCACCGCTGATGCTGTGGTTTCCTTGGAGGGTGGCGTTCACGTGTGCGAGGATGTGCACGTGCGTTGCGCGTCCGCTGTAATGGCCAGGGAAGATGGTGAGGAGTTGGGCAACCCCGTCGGGGGAGGTGGGGCGGAGGCCGCGGGCGAATGTTTTGTTCTATCGGAAGAAGTCAATACAAGAATTGGAGGACAGGAGAGAGGGGGGGTATACAATGTTGCTAGCGTCGGAGGAGTCACCGTTACCGCTTGCTACGACTCCGCTGTACACTCCTGATGCATTTGCGTGCCACCAATCCATGTAGAGGTTTGGTACGGGATCGCAGGTGTTTATGTCGATGAGCTGGACATCGGCCCAGAGGTTTATGCCCGACTGGCCGTCGCGGAGGTCGTGGCGGACGAGTTCCCCATCGACATCTACCCAATCCATTGTAAGTCCCCCTTCTTCCCATCGTGAACCGGTATCGTGGGGGGAACTTACAGTAGGGACCCTGCGTAACCTCCGGCTGGAGCACGCATTTAACGTCCCCAGAGAACAAAACCTTAGGGTCAGTATCCGGCGTAATTCCCGTCAGGTTGCTCTTGTGATCAGTACCCAGTACGCTCTCCACGCTCCTCCTGCTAACGATGCCGTGCTGCTGCCGAATCTCCTCGACGAAGGCGCTGCGCCGGGCGATTGCGCGGGTCTCCAGGTCCCGTGCCTTTACGGTGTCCTTGCAAGCGGCCAGGGAGCGCTTGGAGTACGCGAGGAAGTCGCCACGGCGGGCTAGGACCGAAGCCGATTCGTCTTCATGCTCGCCCGGATGCGCGCTCACGGCGGAGAAGAGGGTCAGGGCTGTGAGGATGGCTGAAAGGTGGACCATTCTGATGGCGTCTACGGAGTGTAAAGAATTGAAGGGAGAGGTATGATATGGGAAAGAGAGCGATGCAAAGCAAACTGCTGTCTGAAGTGATGGATCCGAAAGGCAAGGCAGGTTGAATGTTTCTTATATACACTTTCATTATTTCTATCTTCGTCCCCTTTCCCCTTCTTCACTTTCACGTTCACATTCACCTTCACTTTCTCCGTGGTGGGATAGCCAATCGCGAGTGATGGGCTGTTTCGGATGGGCGCAGTTAGAATGAACGTGCACTTTCCCACCCCCGGTACCGTACTAGTACTAGCACAATTCGCAAGTTTACGTACGCTGAATCAAAAAAAGAAAGGTTTCACCACCACTGCTACCGAATCCCCATGTCCAAAAGCCCATATGCACCCATACCGGTACTGTACCACTATAAAATCCCGAACAAGTAGAGTAAAATTGGCACGCCAGTACCATACCCTGCACCAGTACTCGAGTACCGTACAGGTACAGTACGGTACTGCAGCCGGGAAATGACGAGTACCGCACGGTGTGGCAACAACCAGGGTTCCGCCAGCCTACAATAAGCTTTCTCCCAGCAAAAGCCAGACAAGATCTACCGAGCAATACCAGTATCATAATATTATGATACATCCACCCAGACAACCCCAGCCCTACCAGTCCCAACAACGAACCTCAACTGTACTTGTAGACTACCCGAACACCCCCTAATAACACAGCCGTCCCCGGAATAATACCACCAACCAACCAAAGGGGAACATTACAAACCTTGTTCCGCTCCTCACGCCAAGACCAAACGCGTACCCCCCGCCACGGCAACAACAACATGATGGACGGAAACGGACGGGGGGTGGGGGAGAGCGTACGTATACAATCATTATCGCAGCCTCGGTAGACTACAGTACTAGTACAGGGTTGCAGAGCATACTTTGCTCCGCCACTCCACGCCGACTGGCTGGCTGGCTGGCTAGTTCGGAGGAATTACTGAATTGGCGCTGGTCCGAGAAGCCGCGGATTAAGCATTGCCCAGCAGCATTTTTGATGGATGCTTGCTGGTATGATACTTATAACACTAGGTACCGTAGCAGAAATAGGTACGTACCGTGCATCCCTGTGGTTGGAGAGTGGAGGGGGAGGAAGGTACCGTGGATGTGAAATGTTTAATAAGCGTGATGCGATTGGATGGTAAACGATTGGGTGAATGGGTTGGTATCATATTGTACAAGTGCCGTGGGTTTACTTGTATGGTTCTATATTGTGTCCCGACCAGGGTGCGGGGAGGAGGAGGACAAGGGCTGTGGTATCAGACCTTCGGGTACCGCTACGATACCGTACTCGCGTTGGAATTTGCAGTTGTAGACGAGTAACGAGTGCTATAGGTGGACGGGGAGAAATAGCAGTATCCACTGTGTACCAGTACTGTATACCAGCTTCACTCGGGATTGAATGCCCCCCCCCCGTCCATGAATCGAGCCATTGGGATCGAGAAACCACAAAGATATCTATAGGCATACCAACCACCTTCAAGCAAGTACCCGTTGATCATTGAAATGCCACAGGCCGCTAGGAAACTCTAATCACCGTACTAGCATGATACCACCCTCAGGACCCTCCTCTCATAAAAGGGAGGAGGAGAGGGGGGGGTAAAGTAAGTAAATTACCGGGCCCAAAGTTCTCTCCACATGCCCTTCCCATCCCACCGAGAACACCAATGCCCACGAGAATCCACTAAAAATTTAGCTGTGCACCGCCAGCCCATAGATAGTTACCCGTACGATAAAACACCAGCCCATCACACAGAGTTCGGAAAAAAGTTCACACAAGCCGCGGACAAAACGTAAGCTACGGGAGGTAGACTGCGATACCCGGTTACCATTTATGATACCATATATATCAACACCCCCTTTGCGCGGAGCCCCCATAGTCTAGTCTACAAGATCCGAAGATCACCCTCGCACACCAATCCACGCAATTGCTGATAACATGGGCAATTATTATTCTTTTTTTCTTTTTTTTTAATCCGTTATTCGTTACATCTGGGTGAACGATTCCAGAGCGATTCTCTAGCCGGTAAGTTAATGAAATCCCGATTGTGATTTTTCGGAAGATGACCTTTTTGGGTGTCATCAGTCACTTTGGAAGCGTCCATACTTAGCCAGCCCTAGAACCCACGATCGTAAAAACAAGTTTTTCAACGAAAGGGGGGTTGTTTTTCTTCTTTTGGCTTAGTACAGTACACTATCATACTCGAGTACGATACCATCACCCCCTTCATCCAATCTACTCGCAACTTACACAACACCGACAACCGATATCCACAGCCGCTCCCAAACCCAAAGGACAAAATTGGTCCCAGGACGCTATCACACGTTCCCACCACGCGTACAGTATCGTTCTCGTACAGTACCGCCAAAGCATGATTAGACCTCCCCCCGTAGCACAAGCATGATACTTGTCACATTTTTTCCTTCCTTCCTTCCTTCCTTACCCCCTTTACAATTTTGAAAAAAAAAAAACTCGGACATCCCTCCTGACCACCACGTAAGCCTCTCAATAAAGAAGGATAAGTCGAGCGAGTCATTGTGAAGCACTCGTTGTCGGTAAAGTGGGGCGGCCCCACTCATCCACATTCCTTGCCTTGCCGTTTGTGGGTATCGTGCCCGAGTGGTGGCGGTGGATGTATCCTGGACGGGGCTGGGCGGGGATGTACTAGATAGGCTGTTGTCGTATGTCGTTTGGAGATTTATCCATTCATTCATTAGAGGGATTTCGCAACACAAAGTTAGGGATCGCTATCCCTGTGACGAGGGTGTTTACTGTTGCAACAAGCGAACTTGAAAAATAGGGATTTCGCAGATTCACCCAGAATTTGCAGTGATGTTAGCTTGTTGCAATGTGGAGTTGGGTGCGATGGTATTGTTTACCACACCAAGAGAATTCGCTATCTCCTAGCTTAGCTAACCGAACTTTAAGCGTACGTTATCTCTTAAGTGAGAGAAAAACCCTAACCTGTGACCCGTTGCTGTCGCAACAAGCTAGAATTAAGCTAACTTTGCGTTGCGAAATCCCTCTATTGGTCCATTTATAGTGGTTAACGTAGGAGTCCATCACTTTGCGCTTTTTGGTCCAAATGTCGGTTGTCACTATACCGTGCGTGTACTATACTAGCACTGCCCAAATAAACTTGTTTGGTAGCGATATGGATATATTATTTAAATAAATAAAATAAATAAATAAATAAAAAGTGGCCAAGGGTTCTATTCAATGCTACTTATTATACAAGCATCCCTTCGATGGCTGCGGCTCGTCGAGTATCGTACGTAATGTCACGGTGATGACTAAATTAAGAAAGTTTGTCAGGTCAATCAACGAAGAAAATGGGGTTTTCTTCCCCCCTTCCCCTTCCCCTCCCCACCCCACCCCACCACCCCTTTCTTTCTCCCTTTTGTTCCTTTGTTTCCTACGCTTCGAGACTTCCGTACAGCGCCAGTGTCCGGCTGTCCACAATCATCACAACAGCGTGTGACAATCTACAGATTCGCCGAATCCGAATATAGCTTATGCGATACCCTACAGCGGGTCAGAGATACTGTGCTGTACCCGCACCGAAGAGAGCGATGCAGAAGTTACACTGGTGATTTGGGGATAGACTGACCACCCGCCCACCGATTAATACAAGGCAAACTCGTCCCAGTTCCCCGTACTCATGTTGATTGTTTTTTTTTGTTCTTTTTATCCTTTGCCGCTGTTTTTGTCACTTGATCCATCCCATGTTTGTCATATTGATCATCTGGGATACAATGATTCGAGACTTTACGATCGGAACTTTCAGCTCTTGCGATGGCTGTGATATCGTCACCTACCTGTGCACTCACTCCCCTTTCCCCCTTGTTGTTATCCGATTGTCCTCGGATGCTTGGGTCTATATAAGCTGTGGCATTGGAGACCTCAATTGAATGGAAAGAGGAAATGGGAAATGTGTGGCGATATTATCGGTTTCTCACCACTAAGACTAGTAGTCCTTGATATGATGGGTGATAATGCACTGGTTTCCCGGGACTCGGAGGGTGATTCTCTTTCCAGGCCGCTATTCGGCGGTTGTATGCTTATCATGATATTTCTATCGTATCATGTGTGCATACTCCTGTGTAGTTTTGATGAGCTTTGTAGGGTAGAGGTGGCAAACCCAACTCAGAGCTAACCACTTTACCCTATGCTCACAACGCTGGTAACCCAAAGCATTTCACACCAAGGAGGGAAAAAAACACACAATTCCCGCAGATAAACGTGTATACATGCTCTATTTTACAGATAAAATAAACCCTTCATCTCCCCCACTTATGATACTTCTGCATACACCTGCGCATCAAAAACCCAGCCCGAATTACATTAATTCCACAACCTCGCCGTCCCGTCCGCCCCGGCAGAAAACAGCCAACACTCCTTCGGATGCCATTCCACATCCAGCACCCCGAGTGCCTGCTTAACCACATGCCCTCTCAACACCTTCAACGGCACAATCAGGGCATTCTCCATGAGGTCACCAAACACTCTTCCATGGAAAACCTGCACCGTGCCATCATCGCTAGCAGAACAGAACAGAGGCAGGCCGCCCTGGTGGTACTTGACGCTGCGGATGGCCTTCTGGTGGTATCGTAACGTTCTATACGGCTTCGTGGAGAGATCCAGGTCGTGCCAGAGGAGACGCTTGTCGTACGATCCGACGATGAGGTTGTCGCCTCCGCTGTGCACGTCAAAGGACGAGATCCAGCGGGAGCCCGGTTGCAGCGTCTTGATCAGTTCTTGCTTTACCAGGTCGTATGTGCGGATGTAGCGTTGCGTCGCCACGAATAGGACGGGGCGGAAGGGGTGGAACTCCACACGTTGGATTATGCCCTTTGACTTGCGGAAGGGGGATTGGGACTGGTGCTTCGAGAGTTGGTGGATTGCGATGGCTCGGTTTTGGCCTTGCGCAATGACAGCAAAAGGTCAGTTTCAGGATTGCCACAATGCATCATGTGTGGATGGAAAGGGCAGATTACCTTCCGGCGAGACTGTAGCAAAGTAATCACCACGCCTATGCCAGGAAATGTGCTTTACAGCGACCCGCACCGTTACTATTGCCACGACGCCCGCATCCGCAAGTTTGTCCGATGGTTTACTCCATTTAGCTGGAGGCTCCTTCTTTAATGGATCTTTCTTTACAACCTCCGCGTAGCCCCAGCCCACAGAGAGGACTTCTTTACTGGTAGCCTCTGTCTCGTGATCAAATACCGGAGGTATTATCAGGTACACGTCGTCACCACTATACAGATTGGAAAAAGAAAGGAAAGGAAAGTCAGCTAATGTCCAGGGCCCAATCAAAAGGGAGGAAAAAAAAAAGGGAGTATTTACGCCGCTGCTGCAAGGATCCCTGCTTCTCTCCCTGGCCTCCATTTCACTGTGTTCACAGACTCATCTTGCCCCAGCTTGACTTTCCATACTTCTCTTCCGGTTAGAATTTCCCAGACCCTGACGGTCCCATCGTCACCGCCCGTGGCCAACCACAGTCCGCTAGGATCGATACTGAGTGTTCGCACTTTCCCTTCGTGGCCACGGTAGATAGTAGCAGTGGTAGTCGGGAATGGCTTCAACTCCTGTGGGCTCGGCAGCTTGGGGAGTAGACTCTCGGGGTCGATATTCAATTTATTCCTACGCACTCTAGGAGCCAAGTAGAGATCCAAGCACCTCTCGAACCGCTCCTTGACGAGCCCATCGTATCCAGGGACCAGTCTCAAAGCAGAGTGTTTCTGCGGAAGATAGTCCTTATCCCGGTCTTCGGGGTCGAGCTCTTCCCACGCCTTCTTCTCAGCTTTCGTTGGCAGGTACTCTTCCGGCGGATTGTACGACTCGTCGTGTGTTGGCGGAGGCAGCTTTGGGGCGGGAATGTTCATGATGTGGTCCGGTCGGGGAGGTGCATCGTCCGCCCAGATATCGTAGAATTGTGGTTCCTCCTGTTTGGGCTTGTTGGGGACTATTCTGCCCTCACGGATGGCTTTAACGATCTTCATTACTCGCTTCGCCTCGTGCTTTGATGGGATGAACCGGCGTTTGGGCTCGGGCGCTGCGCTCAGCGGCATTACTTCGGTTTTGGAAGTAAAGTACTCCACCGTAGGCTACCGCGCATGTATTAGTGCGCAACGTCCGCTATGTCATGATAAGGAAAACGTACAGCATATGGATCATATCCGTCCACCGGCACCTCTCCCATCTGGATCTTCCTGACCATTTCCAACTCCTCCTGGGTGAGCATCAAGTCGCCGCCAGTATTCCGATCCATCATCCCAGTCCATCCCCTCGGAACCTCAATGCTCTCGAGAAGCGCATCTAGTGCGGCGCCCTTCGCTGGCCGCATTATCTTCCTACCATTGATGTCGTAACCAATGTGAGGGTACTCGTCGTAGAATTCTAAAGGAATATTCCCGATAGTGTTTGTCTCCTCGGCATCCGTGTCGTCGGAATCATACACCGGGTCAATCTCGGGATACATATATCTAGGATTCCCAGTAGAGTCGAGCACAATTTTCGGCTCTTTCTTGTCGACACTACCGGGGAATCCTTCCTCCTTTTCCGGCTCCTCATCCGAAGAAGGAATCTCATCGCTATCAAGTTCCTCCTCGCCTTCATCCTCATCATCCTCATCCTCCTCAACCTCATCTTCCTCATCGTCGTCGCTGGAATCCCCATCCTCACTCTGCGAAAGTGTCCCGTCTAATAACCCCGTGAATTCATCCTCAGAATCAGAGTCCGCAACCGCATCACCGTTCGTGTGGAGTCTTCGCTTTTTGGAAGCTGTGTTCGACATTATGGTGGCGGTTCAATTGGTTGCTGCGGGAGAGGCACTGTACTGTACTGTACCGGTGGTTGTTAGGGAAAAAAACATTTGAGGCTCCGGAAAGTGAAATCTTGGCGATCTGATAATGTCTTGGGGGGTTTTTCCGGGGATCATAACAATCACTCGAACGCCATGATTAGCGTGAATAATTTACGATAGTCGGTGAACCGACCCAATATGGCAGGTTTTCGGGCGAAAACGGTGGATACACCACAGTATGATACTCACACAATCTCCAACTGAGCTACAGCAGCCTCGGAAGCCGAGGCCTCTGCCCCCCAACATACAGCATGGCACGTCCGGCGAGTTCCTGGGAGGGAAGGAGAGCCTGCAAGCGCCTGTTACGATGCACGCGCCTGCCCCGAGTATGCTGGGGGGCATAGGTTACAGTACAGTCCTAGCACAGTAAACAGGAATAGCCAAACTCCTGGCAGGCATTTATTGATGCGTGCCAGGCGGAGAATTTATCCATCAAGCCTACTCGCAGCCAGTATGATATTATAAAAACACACCAGTGTACCCTGCATAATTCAGAAATATCATACACCAACGTATCTCAGGGAAAACCAAAGAAACCAAAAGCCCCCTTCAAAGGCCATCACAGAGAATCACTCGAACACGAAAAACTGAAACTTGCAGGAAAAAAAATCATTATAATATAGCAGTCTATCAACTTTCACAGATCCACCAATCCTACACACACACACCCCTCGGAGATCCAAGATAACACATAAACTCCATTTCGCCAACAAAATACTTCCCCTCCTCAATTATTAGTATTAAACCGATGGCCACAAGCCTCACACCGATAAAACACCGTCGCCTAACCCGCCCCTCCATCAGCCCCATCCTCCCTCCCAAACCCAAAAGAAAGGCAAATTCAAACTCACCCCTTCATCAGCGCTCCGAATCTGCAGCGTATAAAACCACATCTTCTCATTCCCGCACTCTGGACACGCCTGGTTAATTTCAGCCCCTGTCTGCAAGTCCTCCGCGGCGAGCGCTTGCAAGGCGGACTTCTTCAGGCGCAAGGAGGAGGGGAAGGCGCGGGGATTTGAGGTTGTCGTCACAGATTTTGTGCCGGTGTCTGCGTAGCAAGGAAATTAGGATTGGGCGGAGAAATGGGGGGGGGGGAGAAGGAGGATGGGGGAGTTACCGGTTGTTACGTATCCACACATTTCGCAGGTCAGCTCCGATGATGATACCGGCGGGTCCAGGAGATTGCCGCAGGGGGCGCAGAATACGAGGGTTCCGAGGGAGGTTGTCATCGAGGAAGATTCGAGTCGGGTAGGATTTGCGAATTTCGGTGGAGTATTATCTGATGGTGGGATGTTTTTGCGGCAAAACTGGCATGTTCTTGACTTGAAAGTAGGGTAATTTAAATCAACCCCTCGGTACCTGCCAAGCCACACACAATTCTACAACGACAAATTTGTGTTGTCCCTCTTTCCCCATCTCCTCCCACCCAATCACTACATATTGGTATGTCCAGCTCCTCTCCTCCCCTCCCCTCCTCCCTCGCCTCCCCCCCCCGCCCAAAAATGATGATACACCGCTGGCACCAGGCCTAGAGACTTGTACTCTTTACCATGCGGAAAGCTTGCGAATGGCGAGGTTGCTCCTCTGCTACATCTGATTCCCTGTCCGCCTCACTTGCTCAACCACGTTCGAAGAGAAAGAGGAAAAAAATAAATAAAGAAAAAAGCTAATTTATCCAAACAGGGAAGACATGTAGGAATAGGTTATGCTAACGATTTCATTATCAATAAAGAAATTACCGTACTCAATATCCCCTGACTCCACGCGCGCCGAAATTGAACACCGGATGAATTTTGTGAGAAAAACTCTAACTATCTAATAACCCACGGTATCTGTGACCGTGCGGATACAAAGTTCAGAGAAGAAGAACTCTCCCATCCGGCGTGACAAGCTTACTTTTTTCCTTCTCTCCTAATGAGATTGTAGGACTAGGCGCAGTTTTCGACTACGCCATGTCAGAGCCGGGACATAGCGGTATAATACTACAAGTAGTACCAAACGATCCAGTATACAAGTAATAATAGATTGACATGTCGAGTTGCCACCAAGTTGGGCTACATAGCTCACCGGCATCACAACGGCAGCACACTAGAGCCAACTTTTGGCCCGTACTATCCTGTGCTGTACTGTAACAATACATGTGATGGAGAAACAACTTGAACTTTAACAAAGCGTAAAAGCTTTTCTAAAGAAAAGCAAGAGAAATGCATCGTAGGATCCCGCAGCCCGCAATCTACATTAAAAGCTCTAATGTACATCATGACAATACTATGATACTTGACCTGGCGAAAAGAGAGCAAACCCAAACCCAAACGAGAGAATACAACAGCAAAGATAGGAACAAAGCGAAAAGCAAACAAGTCATGTCGTGATCATCGACAAGGATATGCTACAACACCCATCCATCGCTAAAAAGGGCAAAGAGAGAAGCGAAAATGTCTGGAATGAAGATCTTAAACCCCCTTTCCCTGCTTCAAGACTTTTTCCACCACTCCTCGTTCCTCAAGAATTTGCCAAACGCCTTGACCGAGACGGCGCCCGAGTAGCCCTGCGTTTCCCCTCTGAGTGCCCAATCGCCAACGGCGAGTTCGACCAGTTTCTTGGCCTGGTGGCCATAAACGTCGACAAGCTTTTTCGCTCCAACCTCGAGAAAGGTCTTCATGACGAAATAGTGTGTGTTTGTCAGCTTATCGGCAGGGGCGTTGAGGACGGTGGCTACGGCGTGCCAGAGGTTGAATATCGGATATGGGTTTACCAACTTTGAATTTCCAAAGTTTCTGTAGAAAGGCGCCGTGAGGTTAACTACCAACTAACTACCACAGACAGGGAGAACTTGGTGGGCAACATACCTTCCAGCGATAGCAGTATATCCAGCCGTCAATCCCACCACACGGTTGACATGGTTTTCCTCGGATTCCCAGGTCCCATCTTCCTCTTGGATCCATCCTAATCTCTTGCGATCACCTTCGGTAGCTTCAGGGCCGAGTTCGCCCGTCAAGATGGGGTTCTTCTTCAGCAGTCTAGCAATGACAATGTCGATAAATGAATGGCCATTAACGAGCAAGCGTTCGTCTGCAAAGGTAGAGATTACTGCAACCCCAATCGGATCCGCAGTTCCGGGCTTCATAGCGCACTCATTTATGACTTGCATGACAAGCAATTTAGCAAGCTCATTGACAGTCCAGACAAAAGCGACCGGGACCGGAACATCGCAGGAAGGATCCTGGTTGAGGAAGAAATCATTGGCCGAAACCACTGGTCCCCCCTGATCACTGCGAAGTTCGACAAAAGTATTTTTAAGGAAGTCACGCTAAGTCACAATGCATGTTAACTTTTGCACTCACATATACACGATAGAACGAGGGATACTTACAACTTCGATAGTTTGACCTCTCTCGCCATTTAGCTGACCAAACTTGGGACGCAATCCACGGCGGATAGTAGTCAACTTCTTTGCTTTGGAGAACGCGTCCTCCTGGCGCACGGTATGACGCAACTGATGTAGAGACGCGATAACCCTCTGCATCTCAACTCCCTCGTAAGTCGTAGATTTTCTACCGTAAATCCGCGGACCAGGACGGGAAGCAGCATGTAGAGCGGCAGCGGCTTCCCTGACAGCACGTTCCCTAGTATCCCGCTCCGCCCTCGCTCTCGCTTCCTCCGCATCCTTCTGTCTCTTGAGGGCTGCTTCCTTCTCCAGATCCGCCTGACGTTTCCTCTCCTCTTCCGCCCTCACCCTCTCTGCCTCAAGCCTAGCAACCTCTGCTGCTCTCCGCTCCCGCTCCCTCCTTTCCTGTTCGTGCCTTTGCCTCTCCATCTCCTGCTGCCTAGCAATTTCCTCGGCCCTTCGAGCAGCCTCTTCTGCTTCCCTTGCCAACCTCTCCCGGTGCTCCTTCTCAACTCTTGCCCTGGTGAGGTCGTCCTGACACTTGGCCTCGTAGACCCTCCTCACCTTTGCCTGAAAATGTTCCTCCAGAACGGCAGCCTCGCGAGGATTAAACCTTGTATCTTGGAGGTAAACTAGTGTAAACTCCTGGCTCGCCCTGTTATCTGTAGCAACGAGTTTGCTGGCGAGAGAGTACTCCTTCGCTTTCAAATCCAAAGCATTAATCTTCTCAGCCAAGGTATGGGCGTGCGCGGCACAAGTGGATTGCGCGCCGCGCGGTGACGCAGTCCTGATCGGAGAGGAAGAGTAGATGTTGCTGGAATTCGCAAAGAGGTCGGCATCAGAGCTCCCTTCCTCCCAATCATCATCGGAGTCGGAATCAGGCAGTGGCATTTTTACGGCTGGGCTCCAAGGTTCCGAGAGTGAACGCTCCGTCTTTGGCGTCATGGTTATAGGAAGGATGCCGTATTTACTTTAACTAACTCTTGATCCTCAGATTTTTCGCCTTACAGATCTGTTCCCCCTGTAAGCTGACAAGAATCAATATGGTAAGATTTTTAGCGGAAGACAGAGCATACTCACAAACAAGCAAAATTGACAGAGGTGAGAATCTAACAAAACGGAAGATGAAACAAATAAAACGTAAAGGAAAGGATAAATTTGACTCTCGAACCGGTGATTGAACGTCGGTTGGTTGAACGCCTGATTGGTGTGGAGAAGGCGAGGGAGAGGTGGTTGGGAGGGATGAAAGCTATCCGCCGATAGTTGTGTGTGCGCCCTTCGGGTTGCAGATCCACAGCTACGTCTTGGCAGGGATGCGAGCCGCGGGGGCATGGAATTTGGGCTTCGTGGAGAACGCCAAGACATTATTCAATGTATCATATATACGGTACTCCTAGACTGGTGAACCTTTTCAAATATAGGATACTCCAGTAGTGTAATTTCCCATAACCCATCATACAGTAATAAAGGTCGAGTCAATCAAGGGAAGGCCATTGAACAGAGCGCACAATGAAACAATCAGTCCTCACCCATAGGGGTATCACACCGAAAGGGTCGGTAAAAACTCTGTGCTATCCTACTTTTGTCTCATAAACAAGCCCAAACGAAAAGGGATCACCGTCTACCCGCCGCCGTCCGAAACCTTATCTATCAGGCACAGGAATCCAGTATCACATCATACTTACCGGTACTCCACAGGTAGTGTGCCTACACTAGCACCTTACCCCCCCCCCCCCTCCGTTATCAACACCACCACCGTGCGGTACTATTTTACATCAGCACCGGAGACCCCCAGTTCTCAATTGCACCAACAAACATACAGCTCCTCTCAACCACGGAATCGATTCTCGAGCTGTCGGCTGAGGTACCGGTATACCTTCCGGGTCACAACAAGCACCAGCCCGAGATAGCAGGCACCAGAACCTCTCTTTTTACGATATGAAGAAAGTACACCGTGCACTGTGTCGGTCGCTGTAGCTGTATAGAACTTGGAACCTCTCGCTATCTCCAACAGTTGTCCTGAGTCACACTATTCCTTCACGAGTCACCGCATGAAATACACACGCTCGAGTGCTCCCTGTTCATCGAGCACTTTTACAAGTACCGGTATCATACTCATTTCAGGTTCATACACAAGCACAACCATCCGCTCGTAATCACAGGGAAGGGTGAATGCTGAGAGCCTAGAGAGAGACATAACACAGCACATTATGATCCCGTGCCTAGCCACCCACACGGACCCGCAGACCTGTGGAAAGAAGAAGCGCTCCCCTCCCACCACTCGCGCGCGGGTCCGTCAGCAGGCTAGCCGCATAGGAAATGTCTAGCACACTGCCTTACAAGTTAGAAGGCACTCTGCAGGTGCCAATTTCACACTGCTGACCCACCGTACTCTGTTCCTCTCTGGTTATACTGTAAAGCACAGTGTACGAGTACTCGAGCACCGGCAGTGCAGTATCGTACAGCATAGTACCGGTGCCACTAACGAACGGGCATTGGACAAAGCAGCCGACATCGGCAAAGACCAAGAGAGGAGCAAGGCAGCCGATCGTCGGATGGACTTGAATTCAACAAAAAAAATTTAAAAGTTCACAGTGTCATACAGTGCATGACGGTACTTGTATCGTATGCAATTATTACTTTGCAAAACCACCCTCTGATATTCGAACTGTGATTCCTAACGTATCGCATGGAACAAGGCTCTCAAACTTCATTTCCCCGCCGGATCCGACACGATCCTGGCGAGAATCGCTCACTCGTCAGGCGATCCTTTTGGCAGATATTGCACTGTACTAGTACCGCTATATAGGCTGGGTGGGGGAAATGCACCCAGCCAACCCCCCCCCCCCATTTTCGAATCATTTAGCATGATATAGCACAAGATTCACACAGCCAAAAACCCCGTCTGCGCGTAATCGTCATCACCATTGTTGAATAGGGCTCACCACTCTTTCCATTCGATTCCGCAAGCACAAAAGGCAAAAGAATGCATTGTTTCTTTTTTTCTTTTTATTTCCCTCTCCTCCTTATGCACACATACAATGACTTGTTCACAAACAGACCAAGGCTAACCAACATAAAGATGTTGCCCTGAAGAAAAATTAGAAAATAAAAGCAAAGAAGGTCCCTATCATAAAAGACTCGTCTTTTCTCGCTCGGGCGCCAGCCAACTCGTTACTCGCTCTCATCTCATTCCTCTCGCTGGATATGATACCCGCTTGCCCAAGGAATGAATGGATGAATGAGGGATTCGGTCAAAACACGTTATGCGCAGACCAAACCACCCTCCGAGCACAAGGCGAGAGAGAAGCAAAGGAGAGGAAAGGGAGGAATGAGGGGAGGAAAAGCTTCCCACGCAACACATGACTCAACCCCCAATCACCTCACCTCACCTCACCTCACCAAACATGACGGTAAGCCACTGCGGTAAAAAAAAACCCCGTCCGGTTCACTACGGTATCATACACGGCGAACTTCGGTGCACTTCCCCGCAAGCAGAGAGCACCATACTCAAAGCCCACACAATTCAATTCAACCCCATTCAACATTGCGAGCTTTTTCACCCTCACCCCACTCGCTCAACAAATCAATTACCGTAACAGTCCCATAATAGCATGCATACAGTACATACACACACACAGTACTCGTACACGCAACAAATCGTGGCGGTGCCCATACCTCACCCACTTGGCAGGCGGGACGCCGGGACCCAACCGGAGCGGAACAGAACAGAACAGAAAACACCGCCCACCCTTCTCCCCACTCCCTCCCCAATACCATGAACAAAGAAGAAAAGAAAAGAAAAAAAGTAACGTAAAAGAAAAGAAAAGAAAAAGTTGAAAAATTCCCCGACCGAGGCAAGAATGGAATAGCATCGGATACACCGGAACCCCGAAACACAGCCCGCAAAACCTAAATTACCGTATCGCAAAGTGCCCGGAAGAAGGAGGGATACCGTGGGGAGAGTTCGCCTCCGCCATCCGCGCGTTACAATACCGTGGACAATTAACCCGATTTGAACTCGAACAAAGGTGGTGATACTTGTGGTATGCTTGTTGTGGTGTTGGTGGCGACTGGCGACCGCTACGGGGACATTCTCCCGTTTCGAGCACAGGACCGGGGTCGTTAGAGCTCCGCTGGCAGAAATTTGCCCTCGCTCGTTCGTTCGTTCGGTTCGCTGGCAGCAATCAGCGAAGGACGAGTTTTTTTTTTCCGCTTTTCTTCTCTTTCCCTCTTTCTTTCTTTCTCCGTGGGGGTTGGTCCGATGCATAACTTACGTGCTTGTGTGCAGTGCGGTACGGGCGCATACCGTATGCATATGATATGTATGTGTGCGTGTGTGTCCGGAAGGCCTTTTTCCTCTTTCCCTCTTTTCACACCTAACTTGGTACCATAATGGAACCATCAATTCAAACTCAACTACTCGAGTACTCGAGTACTCGTAAACCAAGGACAAGAGGTCAGAAGGAGGGAAGAAAAAAAGGCAAAAGCGATCCCTATCAAATCTTCATGATTGGAAAACGGTATTGGTATCTCGATAAATGGTCATAGACTACATACACACATACTGGAGTACTCGGGTACTCGAGTACGTGACATACATACATACATACATACATACATATCCGGGCGTGAACCTGAATGAAAACAAGACAAAAGACAAAAGACATCGAAACTCAAAATAAAATTAAAAAAACACAAAAAATGCCCCCCCATCCCCATCCAAGAATGTGATGACCGCACGTGTATGGAGTTTTAGTTCTCAGAATCATCTTTCTGCAAGAGAAAACAAAAATCCTCGAAAGAGACACCACAATCCGGTAATGATCCTCACCCACATACACTTCTTTTCTTTCGTTCTTGCTAGCGATGAGTCTGGGACAAATCAATCCATCAATAATTCAACGAAGAAGAAAAAACTTAGCAAAAAAGCGAATATACCATACCGAGTAAAAGAGAGGGAAAAAACGGGAAGAAAAATATTACTCGTAGAGAAGGGAGGAAACGAAACAATGGATAACATTTCTTTGCCAGCCGTCTAGGTACGAGCTGGAAAGAAGAAGGATATCCTCTAAAATGCCGAACACCGCATCGCCGTTCCGATGTTGTTTTCTCCCCTCAATTCTCATCGCATCACACCCCCGCGAAGGGGGGGGGGGGGGAAGGAGAGAAAGAGATAGAAGAGAGAGCTGATAACGCGAGAGATATAACCCAAACACCCAGTCAACTAACCAACCGACCCTAAAGTACTTCTTACCAGAGAGAGGCCGCCCTGCTCTGATGCGAAAGTGAGGAATAAAAACGCCAGACCTCCCAAAAAAATGGAACCAAATAATAAATGATATGCACAAAATATTATGTACTTGAGAAGGGAGAGCGAGAGGGAGAGAGGGGAAGAGAGAGGGAGAACGCCCCCAAAAAAAGTTGAACACCGGCTATTGTTCATATGTTGAAAGCTTCTTCCCCGACGGAAGGGTTGATTGAGGGGAAAGACAGCAGATAGGGTTACACGGTCCTCGACCTGATCGGGAGCGGACCCTGACTGCTCTGCGCTGATTGACTTCTCGACAGAGTGGGTCTTCGGTTGAAGACCTCGTCGATGAGACGTTTCGGCCCGACATATTCCAGGTTCATCTTCATGGGATTCTTGATCATTGGCATGGGTAAAACCAATTGGACCGTCTTTTTCTTGTGAAACCTGCGCTTGATGGAATCATCAACGAGCGCCGTCAAACCAGTGGCCATAATAACGCTAGAGAAAAGCGAAATGTTAGATGCTTGGAGGGATATAAAAAAAACTCATCATTTCCTCGACTCTCATTTTTTTTTCTCTCTTGATTTCTCTCATATGATGCGATGGAATGGGCCAGAATCAGACTTACTCGGCAACGTCCGCTAGGCACGATACAATAGGATCTTGAATAGAATCCCTGAGCAAAAATGAACATGGAGGGACAAGCCCGCCTTTAGCCTCCTCGGCTTGCGCCTGATCGGGCGAGAGTGGATCAGGCATGATGTGGGCAACAACATTTCCGGTACCGTTGTTGACGAGCTGATATGAAATTTCCTCGGCACCAACATGCGGCCCAACTTGCTTAACAACCCTCTTCCATGAATAGCTTTTTCCCCAGTACTCAAAGTCATACTTTTTCGAGCCCTTTCCCCCACGCCTGGTCAAATCAACATGGGCATAATTAGAGAACTCTAACGTGCAAATGTTGGTGTTCTGGATGGCTTCGCTTGAGGATTTGGGCTCTTCCTCCTCCTCCTCGTCAAAACCTGATGAGTATCCACTGTCCTGACGATTCAACTTTACTACTGGTTCCGCCTCCGTCTTTCCTCGAAAGCTATGCAAGGCCTTGCTGACTGAGCGTTGAAGTTTGGGTCGCTGTGGTGTGGGTTTGATGGTCTTTCGCTTAATGTGAGCGACCTCGCGTCCACAATCGCGCCCATATCGTCGAAGAGAAAAGTCGCGCGTCTTCAAATCATACATGCGAAGATGAAAAAGCGTAACATTCTTCCCAGCATCACCAACGGCAGCCACATTCGTGTCAACCCTCAGGTTCATATTCCCGTCAAGCGTCGAATCGTCATGACGGATGGAAAGGTATCTGGTCGATGGAAAGAGTTCGCCAAACTCTGAGGGAGTCGAAGGCACGGCCTGCGGCGGTGGTGGTGGCGCCTTGTGATGGTGTCCATATGGGTGGGGCTCGTAATAGGGGTAGTCTTCGTCGACCAGATCTTCAAAGGAGGCAACCGTGCTGCAGTACGTATTTACCGACTCACGGGGATCATGGGCATGATGGTAATCAAAGATCTCCGATTCCGCAGGAGAAGTGGTCTTTGATTCATGTTGTTCTAACGATGGTAACGAACTCGGCACCGTGCTTCGTGATGCAGCGCTATCTCTGGAGGTGACCATACTGCTGTCGCTATCGTCTGATGCCCTGTGTAGAAAGTGTGAAGGGCCTGATGAACTCATATTGGTGGAACGTTGGTAGTTGAAAAATTTCGTAAAAAAGGATCAAGGAAAGCAGTTGCAGTGCAGCAGAGTCCGTGAATAATATACCGACCTGGGTGGCAAAGGGGCGTTATACAATGCTGTATGAAAGAGAACCGGAATGGTCGTGCTCGAAATAACCGGAAAAAACAGGAATAAAAAACTGTAGGTGGAAAGAAGAAGAAAAAAAAAACCGGGTAAACAAATTAAAAGGCGGAGAGAAAGTGGCCGATATTATGGCAAGTTAGATGTCATGGAAACCCAATTTTCTTCTCTTTCCCTGGATTTCAAAGCTATCATTCACTGGGCAGATAAATGATTGAATGCGTTTTTTTCCTCCTATTTCTTTTTGACACGCCACTGCTCAAGTCGTACTCGTACACCGGACTGTTTCCGACGGTTGGTAGAGATGGGTCGAAGGGAATCAACAGGAATCAATCATTCGGTCATGTACCGTAGTGGGGAGGGGAGCGAGAGAGTGAGCGGGCCTCCGTTTATTATGGATTATGGGACCTGCGACTCGCGGCCAGGACTTTATTTTTGGAGAGAGTGTGTGTGAGGGGGTTAGCCTTTGTGAATGTCCCTGCTGTTGTCCGCCTGGTTCAGTCGACCGACAAGGACCAGATAGGGAGAAGGAGAGAAAAAAGAAAAAAGGTGATGTTAACAAAATGGTTGGCTTATGGTTGCTTGCTATGTTGGACCAACCTTGTCGCCAAAGGTTATTCGTCCGTCTTCCCCACCCACCTCTCCATTTCCTACTGTACTCATTCTTTGCCTCAAACTGATATAAGCGGTGCCGTAATAACTCGAACAGGAACCGACTCTTGCGGCGGACGAATAAAATGAGCGCGTCAGAGTATGTTTTTTGTGGAAGGAGAGGGAGGAGGGTGTAGGGGTGAAAATCTGTATGATGGATGAGTTATCGAGGTGAGGATTCGCCGCTGGTACTCGAATGGACGGTGGTATTACCTATGATGTCCCACCACCGCCTCCACCGACCACCGCTCAGTGCCACTCACCACGCCATCCACACACACCCTCTTTTCTTTTTTAATTTTTCAGCACTCCGTGATTGCCATCCCTCTCGCGTTCTCTTACGGTACGGTACTCGAGTACCTTCGCTCGCACACATCTCCCAGGCAATAAACCCTGAGTCCTTTACCCCCCCCGTGCCATTCTCTCGGCGGCTGTGCTCGCTCTTTGGTTGCCGTTGTCGACGGCAAAAGGTGGGAAAAGGGCTGAAATTCCTCTGGGGCCTTTTCTCTTTCGCAGTCTCCCGTTTCTCTCATTGGAGGCACGGCTGAAGGCTCCTGTCTGCGCTTTTCATAAGTACGGGGGTTTGCAACACTGGTCATTTCGTGCAGCTTCAAATGGAAAAAGAAAGCAGACAAAATGAACATGGGGGAAAAGGGCCTTCTGCTGGCACATATATCTTCCGTGGTGGATTCTTCCATTCGTCCTTGTAACCGGACCCTAAGGGTACGGTGCAGTACAGTACGGTACTTGAGCTCGAGTACGAGTGCCACAGATGATCGATTTTCAGCCAACCATGATTTGATGAGCTCACACAAGCAATTGAACCGACAAGGTAGGGGGAGTCCTTATTTTTTTTTTCCCCATTACCCCTCGAGCAGCAAAATTCTCCTCACGAACCAACCAAGGTCCCGGATGGAGGGGAAGACAAAAAGCGCTCCGATGTTCGTCCCTCACCGAACCAAGCAAATAGACGCTGCTCCCATCATCTCGATCGGCAAGGAAAAGAGGGGTGAGTTATCATACTCGTCGAGAGTGAGGAAAAGAGAGAAAAAAGTGAGCGAGCCGTAGCTGTGTGGGGCACATGAAGGAGAAAGCTCCAACGAAGCAAACTTACTTACCTCATCTGCACGTAATGACGGCTGGGGTCCAATACTCGAGTACAGTAGAATTAGTAGACTACCGGTACGAGTACAGTACAGTAGAATTCAAACCCGGACTCAGGTTCCCAGGTGCGTTAGATTCGTTAGAGGCTCCTCACAATCCGGTCACCCTAGCATTCCCACTTCTTTCCTGGCCCTTCCCTCCCACGTTTAATCGTCATTCACGATACTTGCCAGCCGTTGTTTGGACGATTGCAGAGTCCGCCTATCACGATGGGAGAGCCAAGAAATAGGTCAAATTGGAAAGGAATGGCGTGCACTCGTACCATGGCGGAAAAAGCACGATATGATAGCGATACCTACGGTACACACACGTCGCATCCTACTGTACTCTGCACGACCAATTTAGCCAGTGAACTTCCAATTCAATCCTCTCTTCCTCTCCCTCCCTTCCTCCCCCGAAACGCAGAAGGTATCATCATCAATACGGTAGCGTGCTCTATTCGAGTATCCATGCATGTAATGAGAACGACTAATTCTGGACCAAAGACCCAGAATATCGGCCGAAACAAGCAAGAGGATATCTCGATTTCGCCACACTGTACTCGCATGTTTCCCCTCACGAACTAAACTAGTAGCCACCCACCCGCTCACCCGCACCCATTGTGGTAACTGTAACTCTCCGGAAACAACTCTTGCAACCGCAACCACTTCCCGTCGCTGTATTAATAAATTCCCTGGACAAGGTCACGTCCACAGCAAGTACCGGTAACAGACCCCGCCGACCCCGCAGGGGAGTGAGTTGACGCTTGCACCCTTTCAGTAACCTCGCGGTACCCGAGCACTCCGTGCGACGAACGGACGAACGAACGAGGGATCACCGGCGACAGGGCTGGGATTGATAGCCATCGCTTCCAATGGCAGGGAGTGTTGACGATGGTTCAAGTAATAGCGGTATGTCTAGGAAAAGACAATTAAATTGTGACATGTAACCCAAACCGACGCGCTGTGAGAAGGATGAATTGTAAACGCCTTGGGCATGTTGGTGGTCGTGGCGGGTGCAGTTACTCGAGTACTCACTTTCACTTACGGGACCCACGTGTGGGCCATATCTTACTCGTATCCTGCACATCATGGAGCACTCGTTCGATTGGTAGGATCTGGGTTCTTGGCGGGCGGTTGGCAAGTTGGCTGGTTGGCTGGCTGGTTGGTTGGTTGGTTGGTTGGTTGGCTGTGAGGAATAGGTTATGTACCAACTCTGCTCGATCGTGAGGTTCATCGTCCACGGGTGCGGCAGTGAGCAAAAAGGTGCGAGTGCCGGGAGTCTAATGTACCATACACCACAGGTATCGTGCAAGCGATTGCCCTTATGATAAAAGGGCCAAGAGTCGATCTCCGCAGCACCGCGTCGAGTCCGCCATGGACCGCTCAAAATGTGACCTCGCACAATACCAGTATGAGTACAGTACAGTACTCGAGCACCTGTACTGTATTCGAGTAGAGCCCACCAAGGCAAAGGGGAAAAAGAAAGGATTCGAGAGGCCACCTCCAAGGTTGCTGACCAGGCACATTTTTCTCCTCAAGCAACTTTCTCGAAAGCTTCCTTTATTGGACGGTCGCTATCCAACGTTCTATGATAAGTTACTCGTACGGCACGGTGCGATTGACCGTGCTCGTGATCCTTTCCCCACCCCCTTCCCCTCAACACCTTGCTCTGGAAGGGCCTACGGGCAAATGCGCACCGTGACCACTGACCAGACAACAAAAAAAAAAAAGAACCCCCCCCTCTAGGAGCACAAATTTAATCTACTGTACCCGTAGCGAAAGCCCTACTCGCTCGCTGAGCAATATCGCTGCACCCCTCGTTTATCTTTTTTTGGGGGGAGGATTGGGATGGAGCGGTACAAGTACAGTGCGGAGTATGGGGTAGGCCCGTGCGCTCTCTTTCCCCCTCTGTCTGTCTCTGGTCTGCACTTGCAAAAGTGGGTTTCCGGGGTACCTGGTGGGACAGCGAAGGACAGCGAAGGATTGACGTGTTCGCTTGTGTCTTGGATCCCGTAGAGATCGTGAGATTTGTTTCTTTTTTGGTAGGGTGCAGTGCAGTTACCGGTACGGTAGGGCAAGAGGCGGGGGGAGGACAGGGAATGGCCTACTGTACAGGTGCGATACGGTACAGTACTCGAGTACAGTACTCGAGTCCAGCAGAACGACTATGATACCCTACAGTCCCTGTGTGATAGCCACGCCAATGTGCCTGTAGCTTACCCACGAATCGCGATGAATCTACAGCAGTAAATAAGAAGAGCATTAAGTTCTAGCACTTTTACTTGCACCTGTACGAGCACAGCAGCGGGATCACCCAGTTGTTGCTTCCTCGGCCCTCCTGTCCCGTCCTATTCGCTACGGCACAAGGTGGAAGCGCAGGAATCGCTTGCGGCTCCCCCTTCCTCCTGTCCCTCGAGCTCGACACAACCCCGCTAAACTTATCGCATTGAAGCACAGAGATGTGATAAGGTCCGCCTCAAAGCCCAAGCACTCCAGGCATCCATCATCCCCATCACCATCGCACCAGAAACAATACCCCTGTACCACCCTGCCCACGTTCCTGCGGTGAACCGCCCTGTTTGCCCTCGTTTCGCCCACGGGGGGCGGGGGTTTCTTCGTTTATTATGTATTAGTCTACGGTACGAGTACTTTTCTGATTACCTCACACCCCGCGGCGAGGAAAAACGTGGCTTCTTGGTGACACGGGAAAAAACAAAGCAATAATACTCGAGCACGGTGATAATAATACAAGTACGAAAACTGCCGCAAGAGGAGGAGGGAGGGAGTGGGGTGGTGGTCTTGAGCGGCTTATGCCATGTCTTTTGTTTTGTTTTGTTTTGTCCCCGTGTTTAGACCGACCGGGGGGGGGGGGGGTTAGGAAACGAATATCATACCGGAATCTTACGGTACCATAATCGTACCGTAGCGGGTAGGGCGGGCAGGAGGTATGATACCGGTATTCGATAATACCGTGCTGCACTGTACTCGGGGTACGGGTAGGGGTGAAAAAGTTATTGGGATGGGCTAGGTGTTGGGTTTGTTTGCACTGTAACGAGTACATGCACGATACTCGTACTCTACGGTGAGGGGCACACGGATACGCACAGACTTTTTTGGCATCTGTCCTTTTTTCTTGATCCCCTGATATCGGATACTTCTTGCCCATCCCATCGATGTGGGAAGGAATGGTCCTGGATCGGGATCTGTAAGGTGCCGGTATCGAATATAGGAATTGTAATTCTTGGTATCGGAGCGATGAGTGCAAGGTGGAGAGATGAGGCTGTCGTACGGTACGGTACCGTGTTTATTTTTTTTTTCTTTCTTTCCCCCGGTTTGTTAAGGCTAACCTCACATTTTCTTCCTGATCTACTACGGTACGGTAAACAATGCGATACGGCAATATCGGTGGTATACGGGTACTACTAGTGCAGATTATGCCTTGTTTCCGATGAGTTACGGAAGGTGCCTCGCTCTCCCAGTTATCGGTATGATATGATATAATACCGGTATCCTAGCTAGGAGCACTTTTGCCTGCAACTCCCAGGTCCAGGGATATGTGGCTATGGGCTGTGGGCACTTGTGAAGTATCACGCATTGTACTTGTGCTTGCGCCAGGCTTCCCTGTCACGGATCGGTGAATTACCTTGCTGGCGAAGTGCTGTTTTGCACTGATTTCCCCCCATCGCGGGGGGGAGCCTATGGCTTGTTCGAAGTAAGGAGGAGAGGGAGGCTGCTTCAACCTCGCTTTGGTCGAGCATAGTGGTCTGGTATCGTGGCTTCCTCTGCCGGTACGATACGAGACGTACTTGGATGATAACCGAGCCTGGTTAGTATGTTCGTAGCCTTATGCGTGGTATCTCGCACCAACCTATACTCGTACAAGGCATCGACCAGATCTAGTGATTAGTCTCTATGATACCGGTAGCCTACTGTAGCGGGAGTCTATCGTCAACTGCTCGAGTACTCGAGTACCGGTACGGTAACTAATCTACCGCAGCTCTCGATGACCACCCCCCGGTAGCGATTGGCAGGCTAGCTTTGGCGCCATAATGTGTTCCCGTTCCCGATGCTTTGCAGCTGCTGCCTACCGGTACGGCGCTCTTTCTTTCTTTCTTTTTGCTCTGCCCTGTTGTATGTGGACATCTGGCAATTTGGGGTGTCCTGACTGACTAACTAGTGAAGGGGGCACAGTGCAAGCACAGTGCTCGTACGTGGTCGTTCGTCTCAGGTACCGTATTTGGTGGGCATGAGACTTTGTAGACTCTTTTCCCTGTTCCTTGAGCTAGTGTGGGGACCGCATCGGTCTACCGGTACAGATATAGACCTTAGGTTGTGATAGTTGCACTTTTAGGCTTCCTTCTTCCTTCCCCACTCACTTGTCGATGAGCAGTGGGGAATGGTGGTGGTGGCCCACTGGCTGGCTAAGAGTGGCTGGTAGGGATTGGCTTGGATTGGATTGGATGTATATATCTTTTTTTTTATTTCGGGAAATGGTCCGCCGGTAACTTGTTGATCGAGGGCAGAAGGGGAAGAGACACGGGTACGGTAGCGTACCAGCGCTGTACCTGTGCACCGGTACTCGAGTAGTGGAGGGACTCTGCACGCTGACGTCTTGGGGGGGGGGCGTTCATTTGGGCGGGCGGGCGGCGGGGCGGTTTGCCGGGTAATTTTTTTATTTTTATATGCTTGCATTGGATTTTACAGCTCGGTGACAAAGACTCGGGACCTTAGGTTTCGGCACCGGTAAAATATGTACTTTACAACTTGAAACACCTGTTTTCAGGGGCTCGCTCGGTGCTTGGCGCTACCCGAGTAAGGGGTTTCGAGAAGCTATGCAGTATATAGGGGCTGTTTCTCCCTACGATTGGGGTACCCGGTACCGTATAAGCCTGTGAAATGTGGCTCGCAACGGTTTTTACTCTACGCTATGGGTGGAGATATCAAATCCATGAGTCACTCGGGGGCTTTGAGGCTATGGTATGGCACTCGCGCTGGGATGAGATTTAGTCTAGTCTACAGATGCTCATGATCTACAATAGTTTCGCGAAACACGAGGATGATGATGATGGGGCCATGCCAAACATTTCTTTTTTTTTTCTTTTTTGATATCTATCTACTCGTACATTACGATATTATGCCTTGAAACCCGACTCACCGGCACAATTTCCCGCTCGTATCATGCTGGCACGATATGATCTGGATAGCGGATCATCCGGTATGCCTACAATACTACTAACTTCATACGAGAATCCCTCTGTACGGTACTCGCTGTACCTCCCAACGCGAATAGATCTGCGTTTCTGGATGTAACCATGGTATACCGGTTACCGTATTTCTTGACGGTGGCATTTGCGTCGAATCCCCAAAGTTTGGATGACGAGTTGGTGATTGGAGTGGCTTGATCTGATTTTGATATAATATTATTATGCTCTTGCACGTCTTCCTCCACCACCCCCCCCCACACACCCCGTTCACTTCGTATCAGACTTTTCTCACCTACCGTACCCCACCAGTTCCGTGGCGATTTCCAGGTTTCGTGGAGCGGATATCAGACTCGGAGTCCGACGAATCATCCTTTTATTTATATCACGGATTATCAATGTCTTCGGAATCTGATCATTGTTGTTGTTATTATTAAAGTTTGGACACCTCATAACGTACCCTCCTTCCTTTCAAAAAAAATAGTACAGCACTGTGGACCCTCACGACTCACGAAAAAAAGATGGTGGAGTGGAAAGGGGAGGAAAAGAAAAGCATTTGGTCCATCATTCAACAACCCACGACCTAATCCGTCCAGATCACCCCCCGCACCTTTTCATTCGTTCACCTGTTCTCGGAGGATGCTTCCTGTAATATTGGATCGCTTTTAAAGGGGGCTGCTATTGCGTAGACCGCTACAGCCCGAATTCGAGTTTGATTTCGAAAACTTTTGGTGGGTGTCGTGTGGGGTGTCGATGTCGGTTTCGGTTTCGGTGCTTATTGCAGGGCTTTTGCAAAACAAGCCTCGATATTAAATTTGCGAATAGAGTGCTAGTATCGTGCGGAGATGGTGGACTAACTTTTCGAACTGTTGGATTGTAAATTATTGGATTGGATTGGATCTTCGGGTCCCGTGTGCGTGAGTGAGGGGTAGGTTCCTACTGTACGGTACTTGTATGCACTAAAACACATTGGTCCCAGCGAGTTTGGGAGGTCGAACCTTTTGCATCGTACATACCGGTAGCTGGTTCTAGAGGGTTAGTCTAACGCGCGGAAGTACGGTACGGTAACACCTCGCACGGTCGGTGGCTTATGATAGATGGTTACTCGAGTACAGTACATACCCCACGGGTCTCACGGCATCATCATCATACTTGTAATATATTACGAAGATAAACCCGTATCATACTCTCCCGAGAACGTTACAGGTAGTCTAGTGAGTTAAGGGTGTACGAGCAGAGCACCAGCGCTCCACCGTACCGTATCATACTCGCTGTGAAACAGAAATGATTGGGAATCTCACTAGGGCGTTGGAGCTGCCCCTCCTGGTAGAGGTCCTTTTGCGTTTTATGATAGGTATCGCACAATAACATACTTCATACCGTGCTTGTCTCACAAGTGAGGGCTTGAGGTAAAATAATTTTGCAGAGTTCCTCTCAACTTGATCCAAAGGGGGATGGATTTCCATTCCGGACAGCCCTTCCCCCACATACCGCTACCGGCACTGTATTTGTGTCGGACGGGTACGGTATGGTACTGTACTCGACTTTCCAGCGGAATGACCGCTGGATGTCGCCTCCGGCAGCAACGGCAGAGTGTGATGTGATGTTGTAAGCCCTCACGAGACTTTTTTTCTAGCCGGAAAATTTGCTCCGCTCGTCGGACCATCAGAGTACCTCCGAAGCATGCAGCGGGGAACTCCGTTGGACCAGACCGCAAGAACCTTCACTCTGCTCATCACGAGTCCGTCACTCGAATTATGGGTGGGCCGTTAGAGGATGAGACGATAGGCAAGGGAAAAGGAAAAATATATCTTTGGTGGTGGGGTGAGATAAGTTAATCCCCCACCTTCTCTTCTTGTTGTGGTACCCCACACTAGGAAACTGCGTGATTTCTGTCTTCCTTCTTTTTTTTTTTTCGCTCTCTGCTGGGTGCCGTGAGACTATTCTCTCCCCCTCCCTCCCCCTCCCTCCCTCACCTCAGCGAAAATTTCTCGCTCTTGGCGGTCACATTGATATGATACAGTAGGAGTAATTCTCGGAGTCACCTGTTGTGCTCTTTTTTTCTCCCTTTCCTCACCCTCATGGATACAGTAAATTACCGGTGGACTACGGTAGATGGTTGGGTGGGTGCTAAGACCTTGCCTTGTGACTGTGATGACCGCAACCGGTATGCCCTACTCGTGTTCTCCCCTCCAGGAATTGGCACCCTTTTTGGAATAGCTGCTTACAGGCCCATATCATGCTCGCTGCACCGTAGAAATGGCGGACGGGGTTCTGGACTCGGGGAGTACGCTGGCTTCCACCCCCGCTGGAAAAGTTAAACCCCGGCGTGGCGATTCGCGGGTGGCCACTCGGAGGTCGCCAGCCTCCTCTCTACCGCACGATTGTTTTTCTGCTATTATCCTCCACCCTAACCCTGCTCTTTTTACCCGCGACATTGAAACTCACGAGTTTACCAACGGTGCGGTGCAGCATACCGGTACGGTATCGTGGTGTGAGCACCTTGCCGTAGGTACTTGCACACCCGGGCATCAGGTGGTGATGGGTCATGGGAAATGTTTCAAGTTATGCGCTGGACACTCGTCCGTCGCTCGCTATCGTACCCACCGGCCGCATTGGGATGCGGAATTGAATGCTGGGATTTTCAGCTTTCGGTTTCCCAGGAGTTCGATTATTGGGCTGGGTTTACCTCCTATGTTTTGCTATCGGGTACGAAATGAACGGACGGATGGGGTAGTGCTCTACGCTTGACCTGGGGTCCCCTCTTTGGCTGAATGGCGTCCTTGGGTAAATGATTGGATGGAGTGACTGTTATTTCGAGAATGAGGTTCAGCTTGTGTGGTGCGGCGTATTGGTATGTCTAAGACTACTGTGGTCTATTGTATCATACAGGGGCCGTGCAGATTGACAAAGGGTAAGCCGCGGCACGTTCTGCAAAACAGCCCGGATTTGTTGACTGTACTAGTGCAGTACAGTCTGATATGATGCGATAAAAGAGGAAACATGTCTCTGCCCTCTGGATCAAGTGGGGCTGTCTAATCTGTTGCGAAACTGCTGCTAAAACAAGAAGGAACACTCCGAGCTAGGGTTCCCTAGGGACACGAGTGTGAGAAACTGGGTTCCGTGCAGCTACTCTGGGCTAGTGTTGAGTTACTGTATTGTGCTCGAGTAGATGGGGAATTTTGACGCCTCCCGAATATCCGCAGTAGGATGCATAAACGTAGACTCCTCAGGCCAAGTGCGTAGCAGAGAGGGCCGCAGATGAACACTATTTTTAAAACTTAAAACTTTATTCCGGAGTGATCATCCATGATCCAGGGCGCAATTTGAGGCTCTGTTACGCCCTGACAAGCTTCCTTACGAATACCGTACCAGTACCGCCTCTCTCACTCAGTTTTGCGCATCTCCTTTCGTTGGCGATCCAATCCACCCCGCTACGAACGGTCAATCTTTACGCAACCCATCAATTTCCTGCACCATTCACCACCCCCCCTACTATTTCCAACTACTCGAGTAAGCACCGTACAATTACGAGCAGACTACCCATCATACCAGCTGCAAGGGACCCCGCCGCCAATCTTGAGCACTCGGGTATGCTAAAGACTCCCATGGCGACAATCAAGTCCATGCCATCAGCCCTCCAGTATGAGCTTATCGCACGCTGCTCGGTATTTTCTCCTGTTCCACACACTCCCTCCCCTCTCCGCCCGACACAGCCGGGTGCTGTACGAGTTAGTACCGTGGTTAATTCTAGGGTTTTTTTCTTTTTTCTTTTCTTCTTTGGGAATGGATAGACTACCAAGGCTCGAGCATCCATCTTGCGGCTTCCTCACGGCCCGGTGGAAACCCCGCTGTTCATGCCTGTTGCCACTCAGGGAACGTTGAAGGGGTTAACCCCCGAGCAGTTGGAGAGCGTGGGGTGTAGGTTGTGCTTGAATAATACGTACCATTTGGGACTTAGGCCTGGGAAGGCTGTTCTGGATAAGATTGGGGGTGCGCACAGGTTGCAGTCTTGGAGTCACAATATCTTGACGGGTGAGTTTCTGTGTGCCCAATTGCATCTACATTTGATACTGTGCCTTTATTCTTATTTTTATTTGTTTTTATTTATTTATCCGTCCCGACGGGTTTTATATTCTGTGTGTGGTGACTGATGGCTGGTGGGGAAACTCCAAATTGTAGATAGCGGTGGGTCTGTTTTATATTTTCCTTTCACTAAAATACCTTTCTTTTGTAATTGGGGGAGGGGGAGACTCTGAGGAATTTGATAGCTGATAGGAGGGGAGAGATGGTGGATAAAGATTCCAAATGGTTTCCTTACTTCAATTAGCTACCATTGCCGAAAGGGGCGTCGAGTTCCTATCCCCGCATGATGGGACCCCGATGCTGCTTACCCCCGAACATTCGATTTCACTGCAGCACTCTATCGGATCGGATATAATCATGCAGCTGGACGACGTCATTGTCACCACCTCTCCGGACAAGCGGCGGATGAGGGAAGCCATGGATCGGTCGATACGGTGGCTAGACAGATGCGTGGAGGAGCACCTGAAGGCTGACCCGCGTGCTGGGACCGAGGAATTCGGTGGATTCGAGGGGGATAGCTACGCGAAGAGGCAGAACTTGTTCTGCATCATTCAGGGTGGCCTGGACCTGGAGATGAGGAAGGAGTGCTGTGAGGAGATGGCCAAGAGGGGCACTCCTGGGATCGCTATCGGGGGTCTGTCCGGCGGCGAGGCTAAGGAAGAGTATTGCAAAGTGTATGAGTTGCCCAGCTTGCCTTGTGGATCCTTTCAACGGCTAATATTAAGGTTAGGGTTGACACATGCACATCCCTTCTGCCTGATGGAAAGCCGAGATATGTCATGGGTGTGGTAAGACCCGAGTTTCTGAGGCTTATGGGTCTGGTGAGACATTTGGCTCATGATCTTCGTAGGGCTATCCAGAAGATCTGGTCGTGTCGATAGCTCTTGGAGCAGATATGTTTGATTGCGTTTGGGGCACGAGGACTGCGGTAAGACGTTCCCACCCCTCCTGGCCTTGCTCGCCGTTCACCCTCGTAATCTAACTTGACATGCCCAGCGTTTTGGCAACGCCGTAACCTCCTCCGGAGTCCTCAACCTTCGTAGCGCCCTCTACGCAGGTGACTTTACAGCGGTCGACGCCGAGTGTCAATGCCCCGTCTGCCGCCCCCTGGACTCTCCCGCACCCCCACTCCTGAACCCAACCATTGGCCCCCCATCGTACGCTTCCACTCTTGGGGGGGACGATGGTTACACGGGCAGAGGCCTTGGTATCACAAAAGCTTATATCCACCACCTGGTTGCCAAGGAGACTGTCGGAGCGCACCTTCTCACAATGCATAATGTAGCCTTCTTGCTAAGCTTGATGAACAAGGCTAGGATTGCCATCGTTGAGGACAGATATCCCGCATTTCTGAGAGAGTTCTTTTTCAAATGGCACGGTGGGGATAAAGGCAAGTATCCGACTTGGGCGGTAGACGCACTTAGGAGGGTTGGGGTGGATCTACTGGAGGGATAGGCCGGGGCTTGAGTATTTTAGTGGAGTTTGAGGTGTGGGGGTTGGCAGTAAGGTTTGATATGAGTGATTATAAGACTGTGTTGAGTGTTGGCATGTGTCGGAGCACGCTGAGTGGTGCAGTCACCTATGTGTTCAAAGGAGCTGTTTACCCATCGTAGCCAGCCAGGAGTGTCAATTATTTGATTCTTTTCCGTTGTATTTCCCCCCCCATTCCGGTATCACGCCCTGGTTCTTAAAAATTGGGATGGAGTTTAATTCGAGTGAGAATTTGTGACGCTTGTGTTGTGGACTCCTGTCTTTCTGTAAATTCTGGAGTGGGGGAGGAGTCTTTGGAGCCATAACAAACCTCCCCTGCCGCGGAACTATATGTACCTCCCGTTGGCGCTTTTGACGGGGTCACGCCAACTATATTCGCTTACTCCTCCTTGGGTACTTGGTCTTTACAGATATCTTGGGGTGGTTGTTGGGCCCCTGTGTCTGTGGTTTCTTGCACATATTGGTCCTATCCTGGGAGGTAGGGGAGAATACGATGTTGGCAGAGCTATGTTGGGTCTATCATTGGTGGTCTGTACGAGTGGTTATGGGGGGGTTTATCTTTTGAAGAACGGGTTCTGTGGGAGTGCTTGGGGCCTTATCCTCTTCTGTTCTATGCCGAGGTATGATATATAGTGGTTCTCTTATCACGTGTTGATAAGGAGAGTTGTCAAGTGGCCCTGATAAGGATGTGCTGCCACAGTAAGTGTTACCCTGTCTAGAACGAGAGAAAAAAGTTTAGGACAGAGCTGTTGAATGGACTATGCTTTGATGCACCAATTATGACTCTGATCATTCATTAACCTGATTCCCTCAATGAGAAACACACTCCTTCATCCACCGAACGCCGCGCTCCTTGAAAAACCTTCGTTTGAACCATTCACATCTGATACCACATCGGGCTCAGTTCCAGAATGCCACCAAGGCGGGCCTCCGCCGCCGCCGCCGTAGCACCCGCCGCGAGTGCGAGCAGACCGAGTGCACAGCCCAAGCCAAAGCCAACTAGGGAGACGGTTGATGATGGCGGCTCTGAGGCGACGACAAAGCCCGTGGGGGACTCTTTCGATGAGTTGCTAAGGACATATTACAAGGGCAAGCACTTGGCGGACTCGATCAGCACGGCCGAGGATAAATGGACCTTACTACCAATGTTCCTGAAAGTTAAGGGCTTGGTGAAGCAGCACATCGACTCGTTCAACTACTTTATAGACGTGGACCTAAAGAAGATCGTCAAGGCAAACGAGAGGGTGCTAAGCGATGCGGATCCGCAATTCTTTCTCCGCTACCTGGACATCCGAGTCGGGACGCCGGAGCGCTTGGACATCGAGAGCAATGCTGAGATTACACCCAACGAGTGTCGATTGCGGGACCTCACATATGCGGCGCCTATATTCGTCGATGTGGAATACAGCCGCGGGAAGCAGATCGTGCGGAAACGGGCGGTGAACATCGGACGGCTGCCTATCATGCTGCGCAGTAATAAGTGTGTGCTGAGCGGCAAGGGTGAGATGGATATGGCCAAACTTAATGAATGTCCGCTGGATCCCGGGGGTTACTTTGTTGTCAATGGGACGGAGAAGGTCATCCTTGTGCAGGAGCAATTGAGCAAGAATCGTATCATCGTGGAGAACGATACCAAGAAGGGGGTTGTTCAGGCTTCCGTCACTTCATCCACGCACGAGCGAAAGTCCAAGACTTATATCATTTCGAAGAAGGGGTGTATCTACCTGCGGCATAACTCGATTGTCGACGATATGCCGATTGTGTTGGTTTTAAAGGCCATGGGGATCCAATCCGATCATGAGATATTGCTGTTAGTTGCCGGAACGGATATGGTTTACCAGGATACTTTCTCGATAAATTTTGAGGAGTGCTCAAGACTCAAGGTCTTTTCGCAGCAACAGGCGCTGGAATATCTGGGGGCTAGGGTTAGGAAGCAGAGATTTATCGGTCCCATGAAGCAACGGACGACGGTTCAGGAAGCTCTGCAATGTCTGGCGGATATTGTTTTAGCGCACGTTTACGTCGAGAATTTGAACTTTAGGCCGAAGGCCATGTACCTTGCATTTATGACGAGGAGGGTGGTGATGGCTATGACCGATCCGTCCTTGGTGGATGATCGGGATTACGTTGGGAATAAGAGGCTTGAACTGTGAGTACAGTGAGCTCATTTGTGACAATTTATATCGCTGATATATCGTTTACTACTAGTGCTGGGCAGCTCTTGTCCCTTTTATTTGAGGATCTGTTCAAAAAGTTTAACAGCGACATGAAACTCAACATCGATAAAGTGTTGAAAAAGCCGAACCGGACAGAGGAATTCGACGCGAGTACCCTGCTTTACACGGGTGCGAACCTGATAACCCACGGCATGAACCGGGCGATATCGACTGGAAATTGGTCTCTGAAGCGTTTCAAGATGGAGCGTGCGGGTGTCACTCACGTGCTTAGTCGGCTGAGTTATATATCTGCCCTAGGAATGATGACGAGGATATCCTCGCAGTTCGAGAAGACTAGGAAAGTTTCCGGTCCTCGAGCTCTCCAGCCGTCGCAGTTTGGGCTATTATGCCCTTCTGACACACCCGAGGGAGAAGCATGTGGTTTGGTGAAGAACTTGGCATTAATGACGCATATCACCACGGACGATGAAGAAGAGCCAATCAAGAAATTGGTGTTTGCGTTGGGTGCCGAAGACGCGACTATTCTTACCGGACATGAACTTTATGCTCCAGGGGCTTACATCATTTTTATCAATGGCACTCTTCACGGACTTACAAGGTTTCCCATGAAGTTTCTACGATCTTTCCGGAAGCTAAGAAGGACTGGAAAGATTTCCGAGTTTATTAGTATTTATGTTAATCACCATCATAATGGAGTTCATATCGCGACGGATTGTGGCCGTATTTGCAGGCCGTTGATCATTGTAGAGAATGGACGGTCAAAGGTTACCCCGCGGTATCTCAAGGTGTGTACTCTCATGTCTGGATATCCGTTCTATAGCTTACGAAGATTTATTGTAGTCCCTCGCAGGTGGGCGCACGGCATTTGAAGACTTCTTGAAGAAGGGGCTTGTCGAGTACGTCGACTGCAATGAGGAAAACGACGCATATATAGCTGTATACGAACAAGAGATCACCGAATCCACAACACATTTGGAGATAGAACCTTTCACTCTCCTCGGCGCAGTAGCCGGCCTGATCCCATATCCACATCACAACCAGTCACCCCGTAACACCTACCAGTGTGCTATGGGTAAGCAAGCAATTGGGGCAATAGCATACAACCAATTCCTAAGGATAGACACCCTTCTATACCTCATGGTCTACCCCCAGCAGCCAATGGTCAAGACAAGAGCCATCGAACTAATCCAATACGACAAGCTCCCCGCCGGCCAAAGCGCCATAGTAGCCGTAATGAGTTATTCGGGTTACGACATCGAAGACGCCCTGGTTCTGAATAAAGCCTCGCTAGATCGCGGTTTCGGCCGTTGCCAGGTGTTCCGGAAATACTCAACCATCCTACGCAAATACCAGAACGGAGCCGCCGACCGAATCGGTGACATAAAGCGGGAACTTAGCAAGGACCCAGAAAACCCCGACGAGCTGGTTCCCATCCGGAAGCACGCGGCTCTGCAAGCCGATGGCCTCGCCGCTGTCGGTGAGAAGATCTCCGCAGGGGAGGTGTACATCAACAAGCAGACACCCGTGAACACCTCCAACGCGCCGACGCTGCTCAGCGATGACCCGCCACTGGACGAGTACAAGGATGCGCCCATGACATACAAGCTCTACGACCACGCTTACATCGATAAAGTCCTCGTTTCGACCTCAGAATCTGAGCAGACGTTGATTAAAGTGCTAACCCGCCAGACCCGGCGACCAGAACTCGGGGATAAATTCTCCTCCCGCCACGGACAGAAGGGCGTTTGCGGGATCATTGCGCGGCAGGAGGACATGCCGTTCAGTGACGCGGGTATCATCCCGGACATCATCATGAACCCCCACGGCTTCCCCTCCCGCATGACGGTGGGGAAAATGATTGAGTTGCTAGCTGGTAAAGCAGGCGTATTATCCGGGAAGCTACAGTACGGGACGGCGTTCGGCGGGAGTAAAGTCGATGACATGGCCAGGATACTGGTCGATAAAGGATTTAGTTACTCCGGGAAGGACTTTGTCACTTCTGGTTTGAGAACCCCTTTCCTTTCCTTCCCCCCACCCAGAATACATAACTTACAATTGGCGGAATCAGGCATAACCGGGGAAGCCCTCGAAGCATATATATTCTTCGGCCCAATCTACTACCAAAAACTGAAACACATGGTTCAAGATAAAATGCACAGCAGAGCCCGTGGACCCCGTGCCGTAATTCCCATCACCCCACTCCTCCCCTCTTCATACTAACCCCTTGTTACCCGAGCAGATCCTAACCCGCCAACCAACCGAGGGCCGTTCCCGAGACGGTGGTCTCCGCCTCGGCGAAATGGAGCGAGACTGTCTGATAGCCTACGGCGCCTCCCAGCTCCTCCTCGAAAGACTAATGCTCTCGTCCGACGTTCACGAAATTGACCTCTGCGAGATGTGCGGCCTCATGGGCCACTCAAATTGGTGCACCACGTGTCAGAGCTCCAAGGGCGTTGTCAAGATGAAGATACCGTATGCCGCTAAGTTGCTCATTCAGGAATTGCTTAGCATGAATGTGCTCGCTAGGATTCGGTTGGAGGATATTTTCCCTTATGGGGAGGAAAAGTAGGTTGTTGATAGAAAGGGGGAAGGGAGGGGCTGTGTACGATGTATATGATGATGTTAATACGGTGGGTTTGGCGAATGGATCGGTAGATGGTATGATATCGGTGTGTATGATATATGCTTTTCCATGCTATTAGGGCCAGCCCCGGGGCGCGGCATCATAAATAGCTATCGTGCGGCAAATATGATAGGAAATAATATGACTGCCACAACGTGTGCAACTAATGTGTCTAATAATTGCTAAACCGAGTGACATGAAATGCACCGATAATAAAGAATCTAATATCCAAGGAACTAACAAATCGGAATCGTGGCAAAAATAGAACCGCTAGCATATGCAAGATATGATACTGGTAATAAATTAGTCCCTAGGAGCGTCAGGGACATCCGCTACCCCTGACGAGTGACAATTCATCAACACAGGTAATCCTAAGCGGTTTCTTCAAAACATTACAATCACGGGTTGTCACTCTTGTACTCATACCGTTACGTACTGTAATTTTCCCTGTTGGACGGGTATGACAGATAATCCTATGCCACAAAGCTGGAAACAGAAAAGTCCAATTTATCGCGACCACCATCACGGGCTGGCTGGTGAAACTACATGACAAGCTTCCACTATTTAGTCTACAGATGTGGATATCCACAGCGCCACCGACTTCCATGTATAATATACCGTAGAGTAGAAATACAACCTTCGCAAGAGAGGGGAGGAGAAAGAAAAAGAAAAAAGAAAAACAAAAAACAAGGACTTCGGAAGGAAACAAAGTCCTATCAACGGAACGAGGGAAAAAAAATATTCAAGTAGCAAAACAGCATCCATTATTTACGCTGAAAGGCATATCTTTTGAACCCGCTTTGTGCAACCTGCCTAGAGGCACTGGTCCTCCTCGCGCCGACAAAGTCTGGCCAACTATCGCCTTGGCTCTCGCCGCTACTATCACCCGGGGGCTCTGTATGGGGTATCCGGTTAGAAGTGGGTTCCGGCGCTGAGGAGAGGCGACTCGTTGCAGGATGTCGGCTCTTGGCCTTGTCTTTCCTTTCTGTGAGAATCCGAGATATTTTTGAGGCTGGGGCTGGAGAGCCAGAGGCGAAGCCATATTTGTTCTTGAGGCCTAGGGCTACTTTGGAGATAGCTTCGTCTTCGGTCTGCGAGACTATGGGTTCATCGGCGTTAAATGACTCAGGGGTAGGGAATGAACTAGTTTTTTGATTTGAAGAGCTTGGTGGGCCCGAAGAGCATGGTGTTTCTCGCTGTTCGGTCTTCCGGGCGGTAGGGCGCGCTTTGACTCGAGGGCCCGGCATATCGCCTATCCGTGGCGCTGGGGAAAACGATTGACGACTGACCCTCGAGAAGAAGGAACTTCGTTCTCCAGTCACATTAAAATCCTCGAGTACATTGTTGGGAAAAAGTCGTGGCCTCTTGGCTGGCTCATCTGTCTTTACCTCAAACTGCGAGAATAGGCGTTTGTTTATGGCTGGGGTTAATGGCTTCAACTTTATCTGGGGTTCTGAGCGAATAGGATTGCCAGTTTTTATGTTGGCAGATTTCTCTTGTAAAGGTGTTTTTGGTGGTTCCGTCCGTGTTTCTGATAATGATTAGTCTCCGCGCCTTCAAAATCTGGGGGGTCATTTACTGAAGAAGCTTGTGATCGTTGCAAAGCTTTGGGAGTCCTCAAGAGCCTTCATCCTGGGTTTCGCCCATGCCTCAATTGTCTGTTAAACCTGGTTAGGGGTGGCAAAAAAAGAAGATAACTCGGGAGTGGACCCACTGTGCCGGCGGCATTCTCCACGATTGACTCTAATACAAAGGGCTTTTTTGTTGTCGGGTCTAAATCTCCACATGCAATTCCACGTGCTATTTCTGCATCCAGTTCCCTGTTCTAGTTAGAGATGGTGCGCGACCAGTGACAAGTAGAAGCCGCTTACTTTCCACAGCCATCGAGATGTTGCTTGTCTACCCCCGCATCCGGTTCCGTAATCATCACCATCTTTTCGGCTTTGGGGCAAAATACCCACTGGTGGAGGAAAGTCAAATTTGCCCGTCGAAAACCAGCCAAGTAGTCTGCTGGAACCGATTTGGTCGCATCAAATCGAACAGATTGGATTATCTAGGAACCCTGATTAGAAAGGCACTTGAGGCTATAATTACAACAAAACCTTACCCTCTCTGGTGTTTTATGTCTGTTAACTAGCTTGTGTGCACCCAGGAGTCCAAGACGAGGTATGTTGGGCAGGTAATCGCATCCACTCAGGATACACATATATCGGAACTCGGTGTCCGTCCAGCCCGAAAGCGAGAGGCCGGAGCCTCGAACAGCGGTGAAGTCGTCCCGATCTATTGTCAAGCAATCCCCGAATTTATCCATCTTAGTGATCAGGTTTTTACACCCAAAGGCCAGCAGATCTGAGTCCTCCGAGACAATGCCTTGTATTTTCCCCGTCTTTTCTAGGTAATAAAGCTGCGCATCAGCTTCGTATGGGGCTACAATGCACTCCACACCAATTCGCTTGCATTCATCAATGAGATAGCGAGCCATGAGAGGTGTGACATCGATAGATTTCTGCAGCTGCTCTTGAGCTTCCCTCATCTTCCGGAGCTTAAGGAGCTCCAATCCCTTGGCTCTGCATTCCTCCCGTCGCTTTTCTCTTTCTGCCTCCGTCGCAGATTTGCTGGGTAGATTGTCTCCGTCGAATACCATGCACGGTGTGACGCCAAAGTACCGAAGCATATGCACCCGACTCATTGCATATTCAACGTATCTGGGATGGCCATCGTTAGCCAAGGAGTAGTTGTAACTCAGGGTTTGGAGTGTTGTACGCTCGGGTATGTTTCCCCTGAGCCAGTTCGATAGCGCATCCTATGACCCCCTTGTGGAGCCAACCATAGGCGTCTATACCAACAGTCTTCCCACTCCATTCTTTAATGTGATTCTTCCGTTGAATGGACCCGAGCCTGACCAGAAGGCCTAGAAAATGTCAATGGCGGTCAAAAAGTAAGAGAAAAGGAGTCGACATACCGGAGATACCCATGATCACCTAGCAACGGTAGATAGGAGAGAGGAAGAGATTCTTGAACCGGGAGGAGCAGAGCGGGGAGGAGAAAGGAGAATATTGCGAGCAAGTGACTGGCTGGAGGTCGGGATACCTCCGGAGACCTGGAACTGGTAGCGACACGGGAAGCAACGCGTCTGATAGGATTCTGCGTTAGCGAGATCTATTTCCTCCGATAAGGAAGATCTTATCTAGGAACGCGTTAAGTGCCAGCAAGAAAGAGCGGGAAATGTTTTTCTAGGCTTATCCAAAGATTTTCCTCGCATTATTATTTGGTATCATATGATACTTGAAAAGGATATTGTGTACTATACTGTACTCCAACCTCTCTTATATCATTATCATACTCGGATACCGGTAGTGTCGCCTGTTCACACCGTGATATATTAGATTTGAGTTTTTACCCTGACTTAACCTTATTCTGCCTGGGGAGGCAAGGGGAAGGATCCCGTATCATACTCGTATTGCACGGCACATACTCGAGGATCATACCAGTATGATACGAGTATCATACTCTGCTGCACGGTACCATACCGGCGGGCTCCCAACACAGGGTTGACCCTCAGTTCCCCATCATACCCGCCCAACATTGCCGAGAAAAGCCAGGAATTTACAACCCACACCCCACACTCCACACTCCACACTCCACACTCCACACTTCACACTCCGCCCCACTGCACCACCTAAAAGGATGCCTATCGCTCTTGCAAAGGTTGCAAAAAAGATTCGAGCAAAGAAAGGAGGAAAGCTCGATCAATTGAGCGTCCGTCATACAAATAAATTGAACAGGGCGACACAGAGGGAGGCAAAGCTACGGAGACTTGAGGCATCAAGGTCGAAGACTCGGGGACCTGAACGTATGGCTATTTATTTTGGCGGTTGCCTTGAGGTACCCCCTGGCTAACGATGTTATTTTAGTGGTTCGAGTAGGTTATTTTAAAGTAGCCATGAAAGATGCGACTGAGCCGCTGAGCGTACCCCAAATCCGTGATCTTATTGAGCAGTAAGTCATGCGCCGTAATTTTGCCCCTGGAGCCCTAACTGACGGTGCCTTTAGATGGGTCCATAGAAACGATGGGGAGTTATCTGGGCTCCAGGAGGCACGCCGACCCGGAAGATCACCTTCTACCAAGGAGGACTTGTTGAAGCAGAGTATTGCCCGGGAAATAGAGGAGTTCCGAACAGGCTTTTATGTCCCTGATTTGCAGGACTGGGCCAATATCGAATGGTTGCAAAGGTGGGACGGAAGTGTGGGTGCTCTAGCACAGATCAGATTCAGGAGGATAACGAGGGAAGACTCGGAAGATTCTTCAAAAATGGATTTATAGTATCGATGCACTGCTTTGGGGAAATGCTGTATATCTAGACTACTGGCAAGGCGCTTGGCTCAAAAAATTAAATTGTCCGACAGTGGTCCTGGATTGTATGGTTACCCGGCTGCCTTTAAACTGGCCCCAGCCCACCTGAAATCTCCCGAGACACAATCTCCAAACCATTTCTGTTTGAACAACTCGGCCCATCCTCATGGCTAAAAGGCACCGCTCGGACTCCGGTAGCTCGACCACACCGCCAACTCGGACGATATCCACCCGTCCAGTTGACCAGGAGGTTACGGCCAGCCCAGATCTATCCTCTGAATCTGGCTGCTCCAAGCATGTCTGTCTCGATTCGCTTAGCAATGAGCCAACACCTTCAATCAGCTGTTTTCTTCCACCACATTGCTCGGGAGAACCCTTTGTTTCTCACGAACAGTTCGAAACCCATTACATTCAAGCTCATACAAATCGCTGTCATGAATGCGGTCGGAATTTTCCGTCACTGAGGTTTTTGGACCTGCATATCGCTGAAAACCATGATCCACTAACGGAGCTTAAGCGTGAGCGTGGTGATAAGACTGTATGTACTACCCCTGTCCTTTTTATTTTTATTTTTTTATATCTTAGGATAGGAACTGATGCTACCCCTAGTATGCGTGCTTTGTGGAAGGATGTGATAGGTTGTGCAGCACTCCGCTGAAGAGACGAATGCATTTGATCGACAAACATCATTTCCCAAAGGTTTTTCCTGCTCTCCCCTTATTTTGAGAGAAGCACTGACACGGTATAGGAATACAATTGGAATATCGTTAAGTGGGGCATAGACAAATGCACTTCCCTGCTTACACGAAAGCGCTCGCCGCCCCAGACCTTTATTACGGGGGAAACTCCCACTACTGGGGGGAGGGACAAGCCCCGTTCTGCCAATAGCATTCACAAGGGAGAGTTGGAAAGGCCTCTAAGGGCTAACGATAATCTAGTAGTGGCAACTGGGGCTACTGCTGGCGGAACACAGCAGCGAGTGCAGAACGGGGAGGGATCAAAGAGTGTTCTAAAAGCGGAAAACAAGGAGGTAGACATGGACGATATTACGTTCACAATGTCAAGTTTAAAACTTGTTCCTACAAGCATCAGGTTTGGTAGGCGAGGCGGGGGACACCGGAGGTGAGGTGGGTATCTTCAGCTTTCCTTCCTTTAGGGCGTCATATCCCAACATTGGGAACTGGGTTTGTTTCTCTCTCCTAGTTGGTACTGCCAATTGTCTTTTTACTCCTCGCGGAATATGGTGGCGTTCAGTTTTCTGGAGTCGGTGTTTGCGGTATATATACTTCCCGTAAGCCCTTCTCTTATTAATGCCAGTTATTTCCTTTTTGATCTGTTTACTGACACTGTCTAATTCTTGATTGAATTATTGAAGTTCCCTCTCATTTTGTATATGACATGCATATGTCAGGAGCTGACTACTGGCCACCCGCTGCCCTAGTTGAAAATCCGTCTGTATTGCGACTCCAAACTCGGTACCCTAGATCAAGCGCTTTGGGACCCCGGATTCCTGGTGTGGTATCATATTATTCTCCAGGGCGCTCCGTACCAGCGGACCGCAGCCACTTCTACCGTACCTTCCGCAAAATGAGGTGAAAGTTCGCGAAGAAAAGAAAAAGACAGTTGATATAAACCTGTTTTCTGAAATTCGGTAACCCCGGAGATACATGCTATCGGTTGCCAGTTTCACCCTTACAATAGTATTTGAGATCCCGTCTCCAGTAGGCTCTTGCGCGCTACTAAATGCGGAGGGGGGGGGGTTCCGGTACGAGACTTTTGTATATATAGCACAGAACTTCATAAAAAGCAAATTCATTATTAGACAATAGAGTGAGATTAACCTCTGCCGCGTCCCCGGGGAGTAAATCCTCCTCGGCCTCCACGGGGAGTAAATCCACTACCACCGCGGCCACTTCCACGGCTGAAACCTCCACTTCCCCCCCCGCGACTGAATCCACTTCCTCCACGCCCACCTCTGGCCCCGCCGCGAGGGGCGCCCCGTCCACCTCTGGCAGCGCCACGAGCACCGCCCCGTCCTCCCCCTCTCGCAGGCTTCGGCCCCTTGGGCCCCACAACCTTTGGTTTAGGCAAGAACCTACCACCCACCCCGGTCGATTAGCTAACCCCGGTAAATCCAGCAAAAGCCGGCCAACTCTCACCTCTCAAGCGGTAGCAACTTGTCGCCGCCAATATAGAATTTATCGCCCTCCTTGAAAGAACTAGCCACAATACCTTCCTGCGGCTTGATAGTGAAGAAAACTTGATTCAGCGGGCCGAGGATCTCGTCTACTTTTCCGATCTGAGACTTATTCTCGAGGTAGATTGGGGCGTTGAAGTAGGGGATCTTGGTATTGATAGATTGGCACACCATCTCGCCTTCGCAAGAGTGGATGAAGGAGCCCATCGCTGCCACCAGCATATGGTCAATTTAGTTAGTTTTTTTTTCTTTTCAACAAACACAAATTGGGATCCGATGCAGAAACAAATAAAGGTGTGTGTATATGTACCAAGGACGCTGTCCGGAGGCCCTGTTGGTCCCGAGAACCCCCCGCGACCGCCTGTTATCGAATAGATATATTAGCATCAGGTGCTATCCACAATTGCGACCCACTCATCGGATGCGGATACATATATATCGTACCTCGAGAGCCAAACCCACCCCTCCCACCAGACGCACCGCCCCTGAACCCGCCTCCACCTCGACTACCACCACGGAATCCTCCTCTACCACTCATTTTGCCGACTTATGTTTGTGTGCTGGAGGAATTGATCCTTTGTGTGTTGGTTGAGTCGCTTGGTTGTCCTGGTCGGTGGTCCTGAAGATGGAATAAAAGGAAATTATTCCCGTGTCGCTGGGTGGAAAAATGTACGGACCCCAAGATACGCCTACAAAGCGTAGCGCTGAGGACGTCAGGCTTCGGAGTGTGATGCTTCCCTGCAGATCGTGCAATGGTGCGACGTAACCTGCGGTTATCATGCCTATTTCAACTCCCCTGAAATAACATTCGTCTGAAAACCCACCATTGCGGCTTTACGGCAAACTCGGAAACCGCAATCGATTAATCGAGCAAGCAAGCAAGCATAGTAAGACTACCGCCGCTTTCCAGCTCGCTGTCTCGCCCTTCCCCCCAACCCAATGCTTTTGGTGTCGAGCCCCCTTTACCTTATGCCCCGAGTTATTCCCGGAGATAAGTAGCAACGCCAGGAACAAAGACGAAAAACGAAAAAAAAAAAAAAAGAATAAAGGAGAAAAAATATGGCAACGCGCTCGACACATCATAGGTCTAAATCCGCGGACGTCCGTCGGACGCTGTTTCGCTCGTTGAGTCGGTCTACGGCTAATACTGGGATGGATAACGCTTCTACTGCTACTTCGTCGTCGGCTTCCTCTGGACTGGGAGGAGGAGGCGGTGGTGGAGAGGAGGATGACTCGGTGGGGAATGTGAGTGGGAGTGAGAGTATTATTGTTCGGAAATCGGATGGGACTTTTGACATCGAGGCCCCGCCTGTGGTTGGGATACATGAGCATTTGGGGCTACAGGAGATCGAGAGGGAATGTAGGGGAATCCTTTCTTCTCTCTCCATCTTGGAATGTGTGCTAATCTGGATGTCCCATCGCCCAATAGTGGTTGAGCAACACAGAGCTGTTGGGAGACACAATGTTGATATAACTAAACGGCTGCCAGGTATCTCCTCCTTGGACCTCCGCTCCCCATGCCCTTCACTTATGTTTGTACTTAGAACTTCTGCGAATGAAGGTCCTGTCGTTGCAACAGGACAACTGGATGTACGAGGTGGAGGATGAGGCATAGTTTCAACTGGAGATGGGCGGGCGGGCTTTCCCTTTTAGTTTCACATTCTGACTCTCATGCACGGCGTTCTGCTGTTATATCCCACTTCCCCCCGGTGCATTAGCAAGGTGTTTGGGTCAACTATACCATCAAAATTTCAACCATCATTTTTATAATACTTTTTTATTGTTGCTACTCTAATCAAGGTCAGCAAACGGTTGTTGTTCGGGCGCTATTTGACGCGATTGCGGCGCCGCATTGGGGGCTCCTCCGAGCATACTGCCCATCATGTCAAAGATGCTAGCAGGTCTTCTGACCTGAATTCCGAAGTAGGTCTCCCCGACCTGTTCCAGCGCCTGCGAGAAGCTCGATCGTTAATGGGTTGAGCGGGAGTTGAAGGGCAGACAGTTCACGAACCTCATTCCAGTGCGGTACCTCCTTAAGGCTGTTGCTGTAGTGAGACTTGAGAGTACGGAACATGTCTTGTCCGCCTGTCTGACAGGCCAAAAGGAGAAGATTCAAGAGGTTCAGGAGTGGCATTGAGGGTATAACTTTGGCATCAACGGAAGCGGTTTGGACTTCCTGAACGGTAAGAGAGGGGTTGTTTTCGATCAACTTGCGTGTGAATGTCGTCAACAAGCGCGTAGCATCTCTTAGGTTACCAATGAGCATATATGGGAAGACAGCTCGAGCTGCATACATGGGAGCCGTGTTGGGCTCGTCCTCGGTGTACCATTCATACAGCATGTCAGCAAATGTTTCCACGCTCTCCTTTGTCCCGACGACTAGGTGCTTCTCTGCCTCATATGTGTCGTCCTCTATTGTGATAAAGATTAATATTTTTAAGGCCTATCATGAGGGGTCAGTGGTGCATATGCCTACCTTGAGCCAAGAGATTCCCAATGAAGTGATGAAGCTCAGGATCGCCAGCCGGATATTCGCCGTGCTTTGAAGACCACCTAACGTAACCCAAGAGCAGGTGAGATATAAGTTATCCTAGCTATCTGTAGGACAAAATAATAAATGCTTCATGCGTACGTTATTACTTCGTTGATAAACCGTTTCCTGCTTGGCTCCTCCGGAGAGATGAGACTTATCAACTGTATCAACCTTGCTAGATGTGCATTAAAGAAATTAGTACCCGGGAGTCTAAACTGGCTGAATAACAGCCAATGAATACTAACAGGGGGAAATTCTTCCAACATACCTCGAGAAGTAGCAGATGGGGCGATATTACCGGCCTTGTACACTCCAACCAACATCAAACATAAATCACACCCACTGCTATTTTGACCAGCCTTCAAGAGAGCTTCTGCACCCGAGCAGAGGATATCGACCGCGGCGCTATAGTTGCGTGCTTTGATGTATCGTTGAGAGACGACCCGTAGCTGTTGGTGGGCTTCATAGTAAGCGCCCTCCTCGATCCTATGAGCACGTTTAGTACAGAAGGGAACAGGAGTAGAAAGAACATCAGGTAGGCATGCCGGAACGAACCTCTTCTCCAATCTAGCTCTGGTTTTTTCAACGTTTTTGGACGCCATTGGAAGACTCTGTTGAGACAAATCTGAGAACCGTGTTTCGAGATGGTGGATTTCCTTGATATATTTGGTGTGGTGGCGGGGTGAATGAGTTGGTCAGATTCGGGGGGTGCTCCATGTCATCTATGTCATCTGCTTATATAAGAACACTCCCTATCGGCCAACTTGGGTCAGAACCACTGCGTGCGGTAGGTTCTGCTATGTTTGTACTCGAGGACTGTACTGTACGGTACTCTACAGTACTAGCAGGCTTTGGCAATTTATGGTTCGATTGATCCGCTGGATATTTATTTCCCCCATTCCCAAAGGGTATAGTATCAAAACTCCAACGTGTTTCCGGGGTGAATTAGGGCCTGTTTGGCGGGAACGGAACTGTTCCGTTCCCCCATACAAATGACCGTTTCCTTCCGTTCTGAAGATGCCAAGACAACCATTTCCCCAGCAAAAATCAACAACGAACGGAACGGTCGACCCGCCTACCGTTCCCGCCAAACAGGCCCTTAAATTTAAGGGCGCGTCTGGTCGTCAGGGCTCCTCCAAACCTCCATAACCACAAAATGGACTCGGAGGTTGCAACAAGAAACCACAATAATCTCAAGTTGATGGTTTGTCGGGTGCAATGTCACAATTCTGTGCCTGACCAACAAAAATACTGCCAAGAATTGTCATTTAAAAGAGACAACTTGATTATGAATGCATTTAGGGAGTGCAGAAAGCGCTCTTCTGGAGGGACTGCCAAGAACTCGGAACAGGACAGGATGGCAACACACAGTCTGTCCCTGGCTTTGAATAGTAGGATAGCCATCATGAGGAAGGACAACAAGTTCCATGATCTGAAGCAACCCCTAGTAGGGGACGGCAGATGACTACATAGGACCACTGGGGATTGTAGGGAATAGTGGGGGACAGTGGGTGACTGTGGGTGACGGCAGAGAACTGTCGATAGATGGTCATTTCAAGTTACTCTTATGTGTTGGGCAAGTTCCGGAAGGGGCCGGACAGAATGACACAATGCAGTACGTCCTAGTCCTTCATTCCTACCTGTATGACATGTTGAGAAAATGACCAGATGGGACAACAAAATACCGTCTGTCCTGGTCCTAGTCCAGGATGGACAGACTGCCCCGTTGCAAATACTGTAGCGTTGTGCTTGAAAATGAATGAAGAAATTGTTTCTATATTAGGGTTGTGCTAATTGGTGGGTTAGGGCTGGCCAGATCAGTATTTCCAAAACCTTCATTTTGACATCATTATTGCATCTTGATTGTTGAGTTCTGGTGTTGACCAGACATGCCACTTAAGAGCAAAATAGCATTTTGTGACAAACCTTCATAACCGGGGTCAAAATGAAGGTTTGAGGTGGCAACCAGACGCGCCCTGAATGTTGTTTCTTCGGTGATTCGGACGGTGCAAGTTGCAACCAAGCAACTCTCGGAGGGATGCAGATAAGATAAGATCTATATAGCCTAGGTAATCGGAGGCGGAGGAGATCTTTCCACTGTGGGGTTAAATCCCTCTTTCAGCGAAACAAAAATAGATAAAAGGAAACATCCCGCAAGAAAACACAAAACTCCGACACCAACAACACCAACAACCGAAGCCATGAAGATCCTTGTTGTAGGTTCCGGAGGCAGGGAGCACGCTTTGGCATGGAAACTCTCTCAGTCCCCCAATGCAGAGGCAATCTATGTTGCTCCTGGTGGGTACCCTTTTGCACAAGACCCTTGAATTGTGGGAATTCTGTTAATCTTTTTTTCTCCTAGGGAACGGAGGGACTGCGCATGGAATGAAAAATGTTTCCAATATCAACATTAGCGTTGGTGACTTTCCTGCTTTGGTTGCGTTTGCTACGAAAAACGGTATAGATCTTGTGGTACCCGGGCCAGAGGCGCCTCTGGTTGATGGAATTGAGGGATATTTCCGTAAAGGTATTATCCTAAATTCTGTGACTATTCTTGAGAACTATTGTCCCTAATCGATATCCTGAGAAAGTTGGCATCCCATGTTTTGGCCCTTCAAAAGAAGCCGCCCGTATGGAGGGTTCAAAAGCATTTTCCAAGGACTTCATGCAAAGACACAACATTCCCACTGCTGAATATCGTAACTTCACTGTCTACGAGGAGGCTAAGGCATACCTCGAGAAAGTGGCTCATAACGTTGTGATCAAAGCTTCCGGTCTGGCCGCAGGGAAGGGTGTTATCATCCCAACATCTAAAGAGGAAGCTTTATCTGCGATAAAAGAAATGATGGTAGGCAAGGAGTTCGGAGCCGCAGGTAAGCTCGTCAGGGACCTTCCCCGTACATGGTTATCCCTCTAACACAATCTGCAGGAGATGAGGTAGTTGTTGAAGAATTTTTAGAGGGAGACGAGTTGAGTATCCTGACATTTAGTGATGGTTACACAACGGTATCCCTTCCACCCGCCCAGGATCACAAAAGAATATTTGATGGCGACCAGGGTCCTAATACCGGTGGTATGGGATGCTATGCTCCAACCCGCATTGCCCCGCAAGCTGTTATCGATGAGATTCACAGAACGATTCTGCAGCCAACAGTTGATGGAATGAGGCGTGAAGGATATCCTTTCAAGGGGATGCTCTTTACCGGCCTGATGATGACCAGGAGCGGACCCAAAGTATTAGAGTACAATGTCAGATTTGGTGATCCAGAGACGCAAACTATTCTGCCCTTGATTAGCGAAGACACAGATTTCGCGGAAGTATTGCTAGCTGCTGCAAATGGATATCTTGACGGGGTGAAGATCAAGATCAATCCTGGCTTCGGAGCAACTGTTGTTGCTGCTGCGGGAGGATACCCTGGGTCATACGCCAAAGGAGAGGAAATCAGATTGGAGTTCGTTGCAGAAGGTTTGATTTAAGAATTTCAAGTTTCCTGGCCTGGCTAACAACCCAATCAGATACAAACATTTTCCATGCAGGGACTTCATTAAAGGGTGGAAAGGTCTACTCAAGTGGAGGGCGAGTAATAGCGGCTTCAGCAACCGCCGATACCCTGGAGGATGCGGTTTTGAAAGCTTATGAGGGAATGAAAGCTATCAATTTCAAGGATATGTTTTACCGGAAAGATATTGCTCATAGGTACACACACCTTCTTTTCCACACCGCTCAAACAATTAAAATTAGCTAAACCCTCTCAAGGGCCTTTAATCTGGCGGCACCAGTGGAAGCTATGACTTACACGGGCGCTGGCGTATCTATAGACAGTGGCAATGCTCTTGTCCAGAAAATCAAAAGCGCCGTACGTTCCACAAGGACGGCTGGGACTGATGCAGAGATCGGTGGTTTCGGTGGCCTTTATGACCTGAAGGCTGCTGGGTATGAGGATGCATTATTGGTTGCTGGGATCGATGGCGTTGGGACAAAACTCAAGATTGCCTGTGCACTCAATAAGCATCGCGCCGTGGGTAAGCAATATAGATGTCTATGTTAGGCTCGCACTCTGACATCCCACAGGTATCGACCTTGTAGCTATGAGTGTCAATGACCTCCTTGCACAGGGAGCAGCCCCACTATTCTTCCTTGATTACTATTCCACCAGCAAGCTTGACGTTGAGCAAGCCGCCGAATTCATCGAAGGTGTTGCCGAGGGCTGCAAGCAAGCTAACTGCGCTCTTATCGGCGGTGAGACTGCCGAAATGCCTGGGATGTACGCTCTAGGCGACTACGATGCCGCCGGCTGTGCGATTGGCGCCGTCAAGCGAAATGATCTCCTACCAAAGCTGAAGGACATGGCTGAGGGCGACCTCCTCGTGGGTGTTGCATCAAACGGGGTGCACTCCAACGGATGCTCCCTAATCCGCAAGATTGTCGAGAAGAACAACCTAGACTTGAGCGCGCCTGCCCCATGGAATAGCTCCACTACAATCGGCGAGGAATTTCTGATCCCGACAAGGATTTACGTCAAACCACTCTTGAAGCTATCCAACAAGGGTCTTATCAAAGGCATGGCGCATATAACCGGCGGCGGACTGACCGAAAATATCCCTCGTATGCTCCCTGATCACCTGGCCGCAGAAGTCGATGTTTCGACATGGCCTCTGTCCCCCTTGTTCAAGTGGCTCAAGCGGGCTGGAAATGTAGCTTCTCCTGAGTTCGGAAGAACATGGAATACCGGCCTCGGTTTCGTGATTGTTGTGTCTGCGACAGAACAGGAGCGGGTTCTCCAAATTCTTGAGGGAGAGGGCGAGAAGGCGTGTGTCGTTGGGAAGTTGGTAGCTAGAAGCTCCTCCGAGGGATGCGTTTTGAAGAACCTGCAGAGCTGGGACTGAACTGAGTTTTAAAGGCTTGGTTGCTTGCTTGATGTTAGACAGAAGCGATTGTTTTTAAATTTACGGATTCCTGGGGCATTTTGGGAATCATTAGATATCACTCGGTGTGCTAAATTTAGTGACTTGTGGGCGTTTCTCATTGCATTTTCTAGACCTAATCAACGTTTGTTTGGCTAAGCAAATCACGTAAGATCACTCGCTGTCCAGCGATCTAGGAAAATAGCCCACAAAACACAAATACAACCCCCGTCCCAATTCCCATGCCCCTGTTGTAGGTGCATGCTTGATATATCCGGTCGGTGATGGGCGATTGGGATGTTGGCAGGTGGCCGCCAGGACATATATTAAACACGACATACTTATCTTCCCGAGTTCGTTAGTGCGAAATTCCTATTTTATCATAGGCAAAAGCCGATTAACGCAAACGTTTGGCCCGGGGGGGGGAGGGGGAAAGAGGGAAATAAGCCCAATCACTACCCATCACTCGACAACCCATATATTATGCCCCCCCACCTACGATATGATACATACCGTTCACGTGCACGGCACAGTACAATACAGTATATCCCGGGAACGGCCCCGCGCGGATGTACAGCACGTACCAGGCCCTTTTCCCCCCCCCCCCCCCCATATATGGCTCTGAACTATGGCCGGAAGCGGGTGCGCAGGGCTCCCAGCGGCCGGCCGATTCGATTCAAAATTATAAACTGGGTAATTGATCCCCCCTCCCTCCCTCCCCTTTGGAAAGGTATACTTGCAAATTCCTCTGTTTAAAGGGATGAATTAGAATTGGTGCATGGTTTCCATTTTTCACCTAGGGTATTCCAGGAAGTTTGTTTGCTGCGGTGGTTCGGGTTAGAGATGAAGTTGTCGAGTTCAATCATTAATTTTGAACGCGTTGATGAGGTGAAAAAAATAGGATGGCGATCGTTATGATAGATGCTTTCTTTTTTATGATATCATAAGAAGGGCTCTTTACAAAATAACTAGAGGAATTATTCTTTCCCAGATTTTTTTTTCTCCCCCGAACCTTAATGATCCAAGAACTTTAGGTGGAGGGCAGGTTTTGGTTTGTCCGGCACTATAATATTATAACCGCGACCCCTTGGTCAAGGCGTGATACGGCATCTGGGCAAAGGGATGTCATTGTGTTAGACATATTACACCCAGCGCATCCCATCAAGGTGTGATGCTGGGCACTTGAAACCGGTCTGTCTGGGATCTGTGCACCAGCGACTCTCAAGGGGTTTCAACCTGGCGGCGGCTTTGGAAAAGATAGAAGCTCCTAGGAGGCACTCGTCCTTGGTTCTGTGTCTTCTGGTTTTCGGTAGGAGGAGTATTCGTCGAGATGGCAAGCTTCTGAATTGCTCATCTGTGGCGATTCTTAAAAGTGCTTCCTGCCAAACCCACTTTTTGGATGGCACGGTAATATCATTATGCAAGCAGAATTAGTTGCCTATGTGCAGTGATTTCAAGTGCCCGCAGCCAGACCCTGTATCTCAAACACCCAGGAAACCTCTTCATCCCTTTCAGCCATGCTTCATTGGGCATTATAAGAGCCCCATGATGCCCTCTATATATTTTTTTCCTCCTATCATGCTGCAGGCACAATGTGTGAAACTATTACTGAGCGATCGCTGTACCGTACAACCCTGTCCAAAGTTATAGGGTCTTCTCGATTTCGCCTCCAGTGCAAAATCCTAGCCATCCGGTTGGTCCAGGACCGCATTTGCCTTACACCCAGAGCCCCTTTTTGGCAGAGCCTCCAATAATCTGCTGGTACGGGATGTAGGCCAGCTGCCTGACGCAAGGGCTGCAATGTTATCCGTAAGGTAAATTTGACGGCTGGGGCCTTCTTAGATGGACTATAATAACACACTATGGGGGAAATGGTGAATATAATTCTAAGCTATAAAAAGCAGGTATTTAGGGGGCAGAGGACATGCGTGAGTGAAAGAAAAGAATCGAATGATAAAACGTGGATACAACTTAAGAATTAACAGTTAGAACGGGGAAAAAAGGGAGGGGGGGGGGAGAGAAAGTAAAAAGAAAGGCGTCTTTTCATACAGGATAAAACTAGTTTTGAAAAGGTGAACTGCGGTGGGCACTGTTGGGGGGAAGTTCAAAAAACAAAACGCCGGTGGCCCAATTTTCCCTTTTGAGAATGATGTAGAGGATGACACGTGAAAATAGTAATAATATAGAGGTTAAACCCGCTAGCACAAAAAACACGCGGGAAGATCGGTCTAGGAGGTAGCAAAAAATACGGTTACCTAAGTTGGGAGGGAGAAAATAATAACTCCTGTGTATAGGAAAAAAGTGAAAAAAAAAGTGTTGGATAGACAGCTCAAAGTTCCCAGAACCTCTGTTGAGTGAGCTCGCCTATGGGCATCCTTCGCACGGCACAAGCATCAAGAACGTTGACGGCCGTCTCACCCATGGGGAGCTTCACCAGGTAATGGACCTCTTGAAGGCCTATCTCCTGGATGTAGCTCAGGAGCCGGTGGTAATTAAGGCCAACATCCGAGACGCAGTGGCTATCGTCGGATAAGGTGAATCTGCCACCACGAGCCATAACCAACTGCATCACAAAAGTATTAGAAAACCCAGAAGATATATCTCAAACATTATATTCAAGCAATAATACTGACCCCAGCCAAATCCCTCCTGGGATACGGTTCATCCCAGCCTTTTCTAAAACTGGCGGAATTCAGTTCCGTAAGACCACTGTAGCTAAGAACAAAATCGACATTCCTAACAACTCTGTCCCACACACCAGAACCATACTCAACCAAAGGCTTAGCCGGGTTCTCGCTAAACAGCCTTATAAGGTCCCAGTGACCCACAACAGCGGGTTTGAGCTGTGTAAGCATTTCATACTGAGCATCAAAGTATGCCTCAAATAGCCTATTCTCTTCGCCACCTACGCTCTCAAGAGCTCTTAGGTACATCGGCCTATCAAAGTCAATTGGAATGGTATTGACATGATGAACAGATCCAACGAAGAAGTCGAATTTGTAAACTTCTTGGAGATTCCTGACGAGAGCAATAGATGAAGGGCGGATGTAATCGAGCTCGAACCCAACGAGGAGATGGATCAAGTGCTGGTATCTCGCACGTAGTCGAAGTGCGGTGTCGTAATACTGTTGAAAGGTTTTGTAAAGGTCGAAGGGTGTCTGGTGGGCAGCAGTCTGTCATTGGAGGCCCAAAATCCTGGTCAGCACACCACTTGAAGAATCTCCACGTCTTATTCGGGGAAAGGCCCATGCACCCTTCCCTAGTGAAATGGAGAGAAATAACGATAAGGATGGAGGGGCATATGAAAAGGAATTATGCTAGATGCAAATGAAAGAAGCTCTTGTGATTCTTTTTGGGGGGGCTTTCCTTTTTCTCCACACGCCAAAAAAAAAAGGAGAGCGGGCAGGATTGGAAAAGGGGAAAAAATATAGAACCCACCTCTTCAGGGTAGAGATCCTCTAGGCAATCTCGGGGCATGTGCTCCGTCAGCGAGAAAACAATCATGCCCTTGCCGATAGCGGCCAGTATCATTTGCTCAAGATCATCTTGTGCATGCAGACAGAACTGACCCGAGTGACTGTGATGAGAAAACGGCATCTTCTCGGTGCTGGGATCGGGATCGAAGCTTTATTTTTCCTTTTCGTAGAAGGATTGGGATATGGGAAGATATCAAGAAGTTGAAGGGGGAACCATAAAAAGGCCAGAACAACGATGCTCTCCCTAGGGGAGTACGAGTCGCCTCAGCTGTATTAGCTCCAAGGGTATACAGCTCACACAAAGGTGTCTCGGGAGGCGAGAAAAAAAAGCAGGGCTGTATAGCCGGGCTCCCTAGTAGACTGTCAATTCCTGGAGAGACAGGCAGGCGAAGGTAATATGTAATGGTTGAAACAATAATACCGAGAAAGAAGCTAAGCAGTGACGATAGTATATTCCACCTTCCTGAGGAGAAAGGGTTTGAAATCAACAGGGAAAAGGGTCATCCGGGGGGAGGGAGGAGTTCGTCTGGCAGCAGGTAGTTGGTTCTTTTTCACCACCTTTCTTCCCCTTTCAAACCTCTGGGCTGAGCATCTCCAGTCCCTTTTTCTTTCTGGGAAGAGCTCCCGATGATATCTAAACTAACTCGAGTGGATGCCACGATAGGAGGGGGAAAAAAGTACACGCAAGCCCAGGAATGGAAAGCAATCCCACTTTAGCCCTGCCTACCCCCCTCTACTACCTCCTGTCTTCTCTCGCCCTCCTCCTATGGGACGATGGAACTATGAGCCCCCCACCCCCCCTTCTTTTCCTTCCACCAAACAAACATCATCACCATCGTGGGCATCATAGGCATCATCATCACCGGCCTTGGGTTGGGAAAGGAAAAGGGAAGAAATGAGAAGAAGAAAAAAATGAGGGGCACCTACAGCTCCCAGCCTACCAGGACCGGGTCTCTGCTTGTGATCAGCATGCAGCTCCAGTTCAAAGTAACACACCGCCATGTTTTTGACCGAACGAATCACCCGAATTCGTGCCAGCAAGATTCTCTCACCACCCCTCCTGCTCGTAAGTTACTTCTCTCTTCCGGTCAAGCCTTTCCCCCCTTTCTGAATCTCACTCTATCAACCCCTCCTTTCTCTCCTCTCCGCCCTCCCATATCGAGATCTAGTTCTGACACAAGCTCGCCAGCAGGGGACAGGGAACACAGGGCTAGAGATTAGAAAGACAGAAGGAACGCAAGGAACCTGAGAGGATAAATGCGTGCCAGTTGCAAGGTCGTTGACTCGGTCAAGAACGCAATCGTGGCGCCATGACACCAGGGTGCATTGCCTTGGTCGATCTAAGATCGTCATCTCTAGATCATACATTGGCTAACCTCTGGTTCGCAGGCATGAACATGGAATGACAAGCGAGGATTCTCAGGAGCAATCCTTCCCCCCTCAATTCCTCACTCATGCAAACTTCAGTACCTCAACCAGGGGAACAACAAAACAGTCACATCCAAGGTAGGCTTGGTAACATCGATCCTCAAAGTGGCTGCCATTAACGTTGAAGGTCACGGGATCCCTGACTTCCCCCAATCAGATTACAGGGCATGTGCAATCGGCCTATCCTGGGAGACTTTAGGGTTTGAACAAAATCTGTGCAACGTAAGTGTTCCACCGGCCGGGAGCAACACTTACAAATTGTCTCCATTGTTTCAACATCGCTAATGCAATCTTGCGGCTTTATTTAGAGGGCCTTCCCAATGCATCCTGAACTCCCGATATCTAGTTCACTAGCCGAAGACGCCAAATGTGATCCCCAGGCCGACATCGTGGATAGATCACAATTTGTTTATCACATGTACCGATACTTGTGTTATGAGCTGTAGTTTCACTATCATGCAAGAAACATTTTTCGAATTGAAAATTTGTATCTTTGAAAAAATATTGTGGAAAGAGCCAGGCAAAATTTAAACCCAGCTCTAGACTATCACTCCCGAGAAAGGAGCTAGCAAACATATCAAACGAAATACACTGAAGGTTGGAATGCAGTCCCTAAGATTATTTTGTCTGTCTACCGGTGGCTAGCGACTTGCCATTAGTCTCTCCAGGCGTGGGGTGCACATTCCAGAGATACCATTGGCCTAACATGAGGCACCAAATCGAACAAAAACACATAAATCCTTTGCCGCAATTCGAGATCGCCCACACCTAGCTAATCCCAGCATACAAGCAAAAACACTCTCATAAACACAACATCCCACCCAATACATGACGATATTTCCACGGAGGGAAATGCAATACGCCACAGAGAAAAGATATTCCGGTACCTCGGCACAACCGCCTTCCAAAGATACCAGGTTCGCCCTAACATCCAAAGTACCGAACCAATCCGAATACAAAACAATATCGCTGCGCTGGTAAGCCCCCACCCCCCTTCTCTTGTCGGAGCATTTCCATGGTTTCCTTAGCCACGCTACCGGTGCTCAACCAGTTCTCGCCCCCCGTTTAAATCTATCTGAAGACTCCCTCACATGCTGGTTCGGTTGAAAAACAGCTCCCGTCCATCATAACATTTCGTTCCGCGTCGAAACGAATGACAAGTCATTTAACCCCTTCCTCAAAATCCAAAGTACGGAAAGATAACCGAAAAAGTATCAAATAGTGATGATTTTCATTGGCAGCTTCCCCACTTGAAACACACTTATCGTGGTTTCCGAAACCATATTGACGTTGCATGTTTGGAAGTGCTGTAGGGTGACCGAACCCTCCGTGGGGGACATGCGTGGGGGTTAGAGCTGGGCGGTACCGCCTTACAGCACATCTCTTCAATCCTCCTGGGGCTGCGTTCCCGGTGACGCCATAGGTTCTCACTCGGCATTATATCTATTCGGAAGCCAAACAGTCCCAAGGGCTCCTCCATACACACTTGATCTGAGCATTCCCAGGGTGAAGCTTTATCCGTGTTCTGAGTAGCTGGACGTGTTATTTTGGGGGGCCTTCCAGAGTCCGGTATTTTTTTTTCTTTTGCTGATCTCAGGCCAACAATTGCTTTCAAGAGGCATCACAATAGATCACTCGAGGCAAACGCGGGAACTAAAATGTGGACTGGCTACAGGTACCGATTCCAACCGAATATGTCTAAAAAAAACCCTCGACTTTCAATCTTGGTCATCAGGAAAGCCGATAGCGCAAGATTGTAATTTGGCTATCCGACCAGTTAGAAGCCCAGGAATCAGCGAATCGCAAGGTATCCACCCCTCAGAACGACTTAAAGTAATCTGAAGGTATAACGGCCTGTGCCCGCCTTCTCTCCTGTCATCCAGGCCACGAAGAAGTGCGCCCAGTGCAAGAATCAACCCGAAATCAATTTCAAGCTTCCGATTCTGTGTGAGAATGGAACCTTTCAGCAAAGCAGCACTGGAGAGTCAGGGGAGCGTGGAGACGGCCTCAACTCTCAAAAGACACAACGCCATCGCTTACCATCGCGGAAACGCTAGGCTCTCGGAGAAAGGAAGCTTCCCCCGCCTGCTCTCCAACTCACATCGGGTTCCAACGGGGTACCTGTAAATCCCTATAGCGCCCTAAGACAACTACACGAGTAAACGCTGACCGGTACCAATTCAAGGAACTATCGTCGAAACCCAAGTCTCTTCCAGGAACCAAGCAGACTACTAACTCTTTGGTCCCTGCAGCAGTCTGCTCCAGTCGATCATGCGGTTAAGAGCACCTTCTCTACTGATGCGACTTCGTGGTGGCTGCGCATGGCTTCGGTGAGACAACGTGGGATCCCGTCTCACGATCTATAACGCCGCCTGGACGAGATACACATTATCGTACGAAGAAAACTGCCCCCCGGGTACAACTGCCACAGCGGCTACCCAGAAATGCTGACATCACCTCCTCCTCCTAGCAAGAGCACACGTTGGTGGTGGGGTATGGGTTCCAGTGGCAAGCGCTCGGATTGGATTGGGGAATGGATCCGTATTTGAAAGCTTACCCCATCGGATATGGGAATACATGATAGGCCCTACCAGGCAACCTGAGGTCCTCGAACCTCCCAACCGTAACCACATGATCATATTTCCCACCAGCCAACCCCTCGAAAGGCTGCGGAGCAAGCCAATTTCACACTCGCCGGCCACAGAGCCCCACCGCCGACCGCCAGGACTGTTCCGCACATACTGCACGGTACATGACCAGATATGTACCGACTAATTGTATCCCGTAATGGCCAGCTCCCCAATCGGGACCCATATACCGACTGCAAGGCCGTTCGACCGGCATAGTACGAGGATTGATAGTTACCCCTGAAGCCACACATGTTGCCAGCAACCAAAAAAAAAAAAAGAAAGAAAGAAAGAGAAGAAGGGAGGGAGGGGGGGGGGGGAAAGCACCACCAACGGACCCGGGCTGGCGGCAATTATCCCGAATATTGCGCTCAGGACGAAGATGAATTGCACTATTCTCCCACGCCTGGCACTTTGACATCCCTTTTTTTTTTCTTGCCCCCAAAAGTGCCTGAGGGAGACACCCCCATCGCGCGGCGGTTGTCATAATCACAATAATCACAATTGTCAATTCCTTCCCGATATTTGCCGGTTGGGCCGGGCCTGGAAAAGATGAGAAGAAAAAAAGAAAAAAAAAGAGAAATGTGAAAAAGCGGGTTCCCAAGAGAAAACATAAAGTGGCGCCAACTGATAGGTGGATCAATTCTCCCTTCAACCAAAGAAAATATTAGGATCTGTCCTGAGAAAACTCCCCGCACAATGTGATCTCTTACTCACCGCGCAGGCTTACCTAACCTAACCTGCGTTACAATTGACATATAATGCTAAACAGGCCGACTAAACTCACTCCCTTACCTTCCGCTGGATGGATCCAAGTGGCAGGGTATAACCTACCCACGTCATTGAATGAACGAACAAAATTTGCAAAACATTGCGAAGCCAAGTCAGCTCCGAATCCCGCGAGCGCTGGAATCCCGTGCAACTGCTTGAAAGGGGGGGGTTCAACAGTTTAGTCCGGTCTGGTCTGGTATATTACTTTTTTTTGCGGTGGTACACTTGTTTACTGGATTTGGCCCAGTAAGAATGGGGATTGCTAAGGAATCTGTGGGGGGATTCCTCGTTTTCTTCTTGGGGAGGAAAGAAGAAAAAAATGATATTCAGATGTTCGATGCAAGGCGGACTAACATACCCAACCATAAGAGGAAATAGAATGTCTCGCTGATCCTCCTTCCTGGATGGAGAATCGGACGGACAAGCATACAGACAGAAGAAAAAGACGGAGAAAAAATAAAAAAGACCCAATACGCTAGTTTTTATGCAAGGAAGAAAAGAAAAGAGAAGGGAAAGGAAGCGAAAAAAATAAATGATTTCCACCCCACACGAACAAAAGACATCGTGTTCCAATCTAATCCCACCTATCCATAACGTACCGTAATTTTCTAAGCATCTCCAATCTCTTCGTCATCATCACCATCATCACTCCCCTTGCCTTTACCCACTCCCTCCTCCTCCTCCTCGTTGTCATCCTCCTCCTCCTCCTCCTCCTCCTCCTCCTCCTCTTCCCCAGAATCATCACCATCAAGGACCCGCTTAGTTTTCATGTTCATCATGAAAGCCGTAATCTTTGCAAAAAAGTCACTCATCTGCTCCTTTTTGAAGCCAATCTCGAGCTTGAGGTAATCCGGGAGCACAGCAATGAGAGCTTTATCCCGTTGCTGGTCTAGCAGAGGGACGTAGACGATTTCGTCCCTGCTCTCGTCTTCCTCTTCATCCGCCGTAGTTTTGGGGTCCGGGGCTAGGGAGGGCTTACGCTGGTGTCTTGAGTTGGAGGAGGAGGCAGTAGTGGAGAGGGAGTCGGGGACTTGGAGTTTGAAGTGAATTGTCACTGGGGTCTTTGTTAGTCACGTAGAGATCGATAGATGTAGATATCATATATAGAAATTTGGGGAAGAGACGAACCTCCAGTAGAACTAGTCTGTAAACACTCAAACACCGTCTTCCGCGCTTCCTTCTTGACGTTCACGATTAGTAGCCCGGTCAGGTCTTGGAATAACTCCTCCTTGACCTTAGCAATCCACGCTTCCACCGCCGCTAGTCCCGAGCCCGCGATTCCCCCACCGCCGGCGCCACCGCCAATGCCACCCTTCGACTTAACCGCACTCCCCGGAGCCACCAGAGCGCTACGCTTACTATTATTCTCCGCGACAATCAACTTCGCCGACAAGACTTTTGCTTCATTCTGCTGCTCCTGCAGACCTCTCTGCAATTCCTGAATCTTGCTCTGCAATTTTGCCACCTCGGCTTCCTTCGCGGCGAGCTCCTTCCTGAGAGTTTTTGATTCGCCGGATAAGAGGGATTGAGCATTCAGGTCGGTTTGGAGGGAGTCGATGAGTTTGTTTGCTTCTGCTCGCAGTCGTCAGTACTAGTCCCCACTAGCTAGGGGAGATTGAGGGAGGCAAACTTTTAGCTTGAATCTCGGCATTCTTCCTATACTTTGCGAACGTCTGCTCGACTTCTGTCTCACGGACGTACTCGAGTTTTTTATGCTCGGTTTCCAATTCGTGGAAGGCCTTTTCGAGGGATTTGTAGGCTTCCGTCTCGGTATCTGCTCCCCCCCCGGCTACCACTGCTACCACTTCGCTACCGGCAGCTCCGCGACGAGCTCTCTTTGGGGCGACGGGAATCGGAGGTTTCGCTGGGAGTGCCAGATCATCGTCGTCGTCGCCTCCCTCAACTGCCTCGGGCTCAGAAGCCTTGGCGGCCCTGCCCCTGGCTTTTGATGCCCCCGCCTTCTTCCTAGTAGCAGCAACGGCCTTCTTCGAAGCAACGGCGGGGGCCGAGTAGACTTGTGTTGGTGTTGCTTCAACCTCCATCACATCGCCCTCACCATTGACCGCACTTTTATCAAGCTGCATGGGTGTATACTGTGTCTCGGCAATCTCCCTCTCCTTTTCTTGCTCTTCCGCTTCTGCCTCCATAGCAGCGGCGGCGGCAGCATCCTTCTCCTTCTTCGTCATACGCTTCTTCTTTTCCACCACTGGTGCTGCTGCTGCCACAGGCACAGCTTTCCTCCCGCCACCTCTTTTCTTGACAGGTGCCGGAACCTCCTCCTCCCGCTCCATCGCCTCCTCCTCTTTATCTTCCTCCTCAATTTCAATTTCAACCTTCTTAGCTCCACGTTTCGGCTTAGGCTTCACTGCAGCAGCAGCAGCTGCTGCTTTCTTTGCCGCTGCTGCCGTTGTAGCTTTCCTCCCGCCAGCCGTAGTCACCTTCTTCTTACCCTTTACCGGGGCAGCTTCCAATTCATCTTCCTCATCATCTCCACCATCCTCTTCTTGTGCGCCACCAGAAACGTCCTCATCTTCGGTTGGTTCTTCGACTCTATTCACTGCAGCTTTCTTCTTTCTCCCTCTTCCTGCTGCCGCTGGCTTTTCCCCTTTCTTGTCTGCAGCTGCCACTGTCGGCTCAACCGTAATGGCAGTAGTAGCGGACCTCCTACTAGAACGTTTTACGGGGGCCTTTTTGGGAAGGGCTGTAGCTAATATAAGTCAATTGTTGAGCAGACAATTTAGTGGGTGGATCACGAGACGTACCGTCAAGCTTATCACTCCCCTCATCGCTAGACTCAATGTGTGCGCTGAGGGTTTGAGCCGGTGCTCGGCGTTTGGGCGGCATAGCTATGGTGTGTCGGAATTGGATCGATTGTGGTGGATGAGGAGATGAGATGAGATGAGATGAGATGAGATGAGGTTGAGGAAAGACCGTACGCTTATCCGTCAAATTGTTATTGCTGGCGTTGTCCTTCCCCTTCCTTCCGCGGAGGAAAAACAAGTGAAGGGAGAGCAGAAGAAATTTCGGACAGTGGTGGGCACCGGTAGTTAAGTAGGATCCATCCGTGCGGCAGGTCTCTGTTGCCAAGAACGAACAACGCGTTGGATTAACAAGCGCGTATGTAACCTAACACTTGTCCCGAGCCCTACCCTATCGTAAATTCAGACCCCAGCTTATGATAGCTTACACACCGCAGGCTCGTTATCATATGGCAGCATAAGTTATGATGAAAAAAATAATTCCCCATATTATTATTATTACGATGGAAGCATGATATCATAAATTTCTAAAAACTCAGGCACCAACAACAGCAAGTAATATAATACGATACTATGACATATACACCATCCGTACGATATCAGATTATGATTTCTTCATCGTGCAGACACAACATCCATTCGAGTAATTAGCATCAGAGGTATGATATGATATACCGGTATCGTAGCAATAAGAGAAATCATCATATCATTGGAATATTTCGTCCCCGAAGTTATTCATTGACCGGGTCGAAGAGCCCGAGATGCTATGCATAAGACAACCAACTATTACTACTACTATTACTATAGTACCGTACCGTATTATACTGTGCCAAGTTAACAAGACAAGACAGGATTTCAACCCTTCCCCTTATTTATTTATTTATTTTGTTTGTTTGTTTGTTCGTTCGTTCATTCCTTGGATATTTCACCAATTGCATACATCAAATTCAGACTCGCACAAGTTAATCCACCCGCTTATCGTTATTACACACCAATCGTGTCCCAACCTCCCAGCCCAATCCCAGCCATAATCAACCAGAGAAACCCAACATATATCATACCAACAATCGTATCACGGCCGGGGGATGAGGTACCGGTATGATACAAGATGTCATCCCAAATGAAAAACTATAAAAAAAAACGAAATCTACCCCAGGTAAACATTCTGAAATGAAAAACATGGCTCAAGAAATCCCCATGTTAACATGATGAAACGATGATACCACCCGACCACATCCATCCATCCCCTCCGGTCTCCGCCATGCTATTCAAAGTGACAGACACACATTACTCATGGCACCATTTCGGCAGAATTCAGTAAAGTAAACCAAAGTCATTTTAAACAAGAGGAGAAAATGAAAATGAAAATGAAAAATGAAAAAATGAAAAACAAACTCCAAAGGACTACGGGATATTGTGCGCCAACTACGGTCTTCCAAGATTACTCTGACTCACGCCGGCCAATCTGAGTTTTCTCCTCCATGGAGGCTGGAACGTATCCGCGAAGGTCTTCGGATCCAACTTCATGCGGCCTTCAACAAAGGAGTGGATGGCCTGGAGAACCAAGTAAGCGCTAGACCCCAGAGCTCTAAAGACAGCCAGCGCAGCGACGGCCCAGAGGAGGACTAAATCGATTCGGGAAAGTATATAGTCAGCCATCACCGCGCAATATACCAGTAATGTACAAATATGGAGAGACTTACTTTTGAGATAAAAATTATTACCAATACCACGGAGTCCGTAAACCTCCGTGACGATCATTGCCAAGATTGCATTGGCAACCATCCATACGACGACGACATAGGTTCTCACGGCCCTGTAGTAATCTTCCTTTATTTGACCCTCCGTCATAGGTTCCTTCAGAACCTCCAACCGATCTCTGAGATTTCGCAACGCGTCATCATATCCGGAATCGATATCGAGTTGCTCAGATGGCATTTCCAACTCAACGGTGTCGCCTTTTGACCCAACAGCCGCTCCAAGATCCACGGAAACTTTGTTGTCTCCCTTGGTTCCCCACGAAACGTCGTGACTATTATCATCAGTTGCCATTCGGTCGATGGAAATGAATGAACCACTTACGTGTTGCAGAACGCGTAGACCTGGAGAGTGCAAATATAACTCGGCAACATCATAAAGTATTGGAGTGCGGACGTGAACATATGCCAAGGATCAAGGTAGAGGAAGCTCATCAGGAAATAGACACCAAGTGTGCTTCCTGTGCTGACAATCAAATTGGTAAAGATATTATCGCCGAGCTCGATCTCCGTTTTCTGGTCTCCGAAACCACCGGAGAAAGCCTTGATAACAATATAGAACGAACAGAAAGTTGTGTAAGCCATGATAACCGAGTACGCAATCATAGAAGACATGAACATTCGTTTGGCCCTAATCGGCAGTCAGAATACCCGAGTGATTACCTGTGGAGAGCAACGTAAACTGACCCTTGTGGACGATTGCCCATACACAAAATAAATTGTGTGCATATTAAGAGCACACACATGAATCTCAAGAATGTGAATATCCTGCCACCCCATCCCTTACCGAACGGGTCCATCTCTGGATCCGAAAGACTGCCTGCGATGAAATAAAACGTGAGGTAGAAATTTGCCTTGGCCACTGTTAGCATCCACCATCGAGATCTTCCGGGGGGGGGGGGGAACACACCAATGAGAAAAATGTAAACAACAAACTGAAAAACTGATAGATGAATTCAACATGCAACAACACCTTGCGTACGATTGTATGATCCGTCACCCAGATCTGTTTGAAATGCGCCAACGAGAAGATCGCTGCGAAGAATGCTCCGTTAAGCCATCTCCTGCGCTGACTGACAAATTCTGGAACCGCATCTGGAACATCGGTCTCTCCAGTAGCACTTCGTACGTATTTCAAGACCCATCGCTCATTCTTCTTAGCCACGAGCTCCCAGCACAGGATACGGTCCTCAGCAAGATACATGTTGGCGGTGAAGACATCGGCATCCTTGCCCTGAAGCGTCTCTCCCTTGAAGTATTGACTCAGCGGACCATGCCCACTCTCATCGTTTTGCAAGGCGTGAAAACGATAGGCGGATAAAGCCCCAGGAAGCACGGTAATATATCCAAAAACACTCTCCAGTGGCTTGTCGAGAATGTTCGACATCTTATACTCAAAGTTTTGACTGGCAACAAGTGGGTTGAACAATCCCATCCACCCCTTTCCCTTCATCGCTTTAATCTCACCACAGGCACCGCCGACATTAGAGTCTGTGTCGAACGCCTTCCAAAGATGATACAAACTGTCGTGCCCGGGCCTTGTCCCAACATCAAGCAAGATACAAACATTTGGATTAAGCGTAGCACCAAAAGCGTTGAAAAACCACCTATGGGAGTTGAGCTTTTTGGCGTTCAGTTCCTTCAGGCAGAAAATCATCTGAACAGGAACAATACCCTTCTCGGCACCCTTGAATTTCAAATCAGAGTCCAGGGAGACCTGAGTCGTGTATTCGTAAACGTGCGCCTTAACCTCACGCCCATTAACGGAATTCTTTGCAATACCGGCCTGGTAGACTCCCATGGCAGCCAACGCATCAAGAACCCTAGGGTGAACCTTCTTACGGCCATCGGCCACGATACAGACAACAATCTTCTGCCACCCGTCCTTCCCCCACACTCTGGACTTGCTGCGAGAGCAAAAGTGGGCAATGTTTCTCATAACACCGTGCATGGTGCGTGTAAAGTTCATCTCATCTTCGTTGTACATGGTGATACAGATGAAAAGCTCTGTTTCCCTTCGGGTAGCATCCAAGTTCTGTCTGAGGAGGTAACCCCTCTTAACATAGTTATCAGGATCACAAGTCACAGCGGTGTAGCGCATATGAGTGAACTCGGTAGCATCTCTTCGCGGGAGGAAAGAGTATAAAATCGTAGGAATCTTACAATCCAAGATCAGCTCGCCGTTAATGAGTTTTACCTGCTTTCTTGTCATGAGCGCTTGTCTGTTGAGGCCACGTCGGGTCTGTGGGGCCTTTGGCGGGGGTCCGAAATGCTCTCCAACGGCCGTCTTTGTTGTAGCTGGCTTCTCGTCCAGTTCCTCTTCGGCAGTCACAGTGCGCTCCGTCCGAAAAGACTCCCCTGACATTGAGTGTGTGCGTTCGTGATCGAGATCCAATGATCCTTTCGAACCCTGAGGCCCGAACACTGATTCATCGTCCGTATATCCATAATCCCCAGGCTCCGAGACAGGAACTGCCGTCTCGTCAGAATAAACAGATCCGCGCCCATGCGGAAGAGGGCCCTTCGAGTAACGGGGTTGTGCGGGCAGCGGCCGTCTAGAAGCGCCACTATACCTCGACCTGATTGAAGCCGGAGTCCCCGGTCTCGGAGATCCATTGATATCAGCCGGTTCATACTGTACTGAAGCCGGGGGCGGACGCTGCCAATCGCTACTATTCCGCGAAGGAGTCCAAGACCTCTCCATCCCACCTCTCGACGAAGGTGTCCAAGGCCTCTCGTTTCCACCATTGGAGGATGGAGTCCACGGACGGCCTCCATTGCGCGACACAACAGAAGGGGAGTACGTGACATATCCACCTGCGCCTCTTGCAGAAGGAGTCGGCGAAGCTGGCGCAACATCGAAATCGACAGCGGAAGGCGGTGCTCTACCCGGTGTGTGATACGCAATTGCGGGGGCAGCCCTCGAAGGACCAGCCGAACTCTCCACTGGCGGAAGCTCTCGGTAGGAATCGTTAGGGTGGTAAGAGCGATGAGGTGTACTCGGCCTAGCCAACCAGTTAGCGCACAAACAGAAAGACTTTCAAGGCCCGAATGACATACGCAGTGTATAGCTGATCGTCCATATTGCCCAACAATCTCATCTGCGAACCAGCAGACGAATTATGAGGATGTGAACTATCGTCGGGATCGTATCCAGGAGGATTAGAAGAAGAGTAACCCGGGGGTCCTGAGGGTCCGTACGGGTTATCCATTGTTTGTTGAGAGCGTTATTGTCCTTTGTTCAGGAATGCCTCCTGCCCCTCAGCAAACCCCAACAGTGAGTGACAAACAATGAAGAAAGAATGAGACACCGAAAGGGAAATGCAGGAATTGTGCAACTGTTAACGAAACGCTCCGTAAAGAGCTCGTGAGGAATGGAGAAAGGTAAGGAGGGGGGGGGGAATTGGTGAAAACAGTTGTTGAAGAAGAGGTCAGTGGGAGGGAAAAAAAAGAGAGACAACTGGTCGACTATGAATGTCTTGTGAGACCAGGTTGCAAGGGATTGCAAGATGCAAGTCAGGCGGAGTTGTTTGTTGCCCACTCCCAGCTGTCGGTAACCAGAGCAACCGTCCCTGCCAAGAGTGGCCCTACTCGAGTACTCAAGTACCGGTGCCATACCAGATCCGACAAGGAATGATGAACCCCAAAGTCAGTCTTGGAAACCCCCAGCTGCGCTCGAGCAGATACGGTATCATACTCATGCTGTATGAGTACGGTAGGCAGGACTTGCAGGATTCCGGTCTCCCCCAGGGCGACTGCCGGCACTGCATCACTCTTTTATTATCATAATATGATACTACATAGAGCTTCGCTGCGTTGTCCACTGGAAACATACCTTTCCTCACGAGCAATTTCTGCCCCACGACAGTCGCTCCGCCCTCGCCACAGAAGAATAGAGAGAAAGAAGCAGCGCCAACCCGACCATTCATCGGTTGACCATAATAAACAATAAAAAAAGCTATGCACAATGCAGTACCACCACACTGCTGGTAACCCTCACAAACCCTAACCCCCATGCATTATTAATAAACCAACAGGCGCGAGATCACGAAAGCAGACTCGTCCAGAGTAGCTCGGAAATCATATTGTACCTGCCATTCCTGTCCAAAGCAGTCAATCCCTCCATGATTCAGTATGCCGAGCGCATCGTTAGATATAGCAATCTACATTTGAGCTACAGCGCATGGGGGAGAGGAGGAGAAATAGAGGAAGGAAGGAGCGTGAGTACCAGTACTAGGAGGGGGAGGGGGGGGAGGAGTGCCGCTTTTGGAGTACGGTATGTGGTAAAGATCTGACGGGCGGGTTTTATATATGTCACGGCGGCATCCAATATATTGCTGGTAAACCGCGTTATTGGGATAGTATTTCTCAGAAATTGTCTTATCGAAGGATTCGCCCCAAGGTATGATAATATGATACATGATACTAGATATTAACTCCTTTATGCCTGTAAGAGATGCTTGCTTACTTGCCCATCCTTATCCCTACAAACCTATCGGCGGAAAACAGCAGCCAACCAAACAAACCACCCACCACCCACCCACCCAATTCCCCCTCCAGCCGGGATGCCGGCCAGTCAAGAAATGAAGGCTGGCAAAGAACGTGCAGACCTGATAAGGGAATCTAACATAGCTTTATAAATTTATTTCCCCCCCAACGTAGCGAGAGAGAAAAGAAACCGAAGGAAAAAAACTATTCTACCGCCCAACCCACTGCACGCTTCCCATCTCACTTAACCTGCTAAGGGCCCTCGCGAAAGCGAACCTCTCCTCGTCTCCGGAGAAAATACTGCTATTCTTCAACGCCTTCATGTTAAGCCCCAAGTCGTCCATGAGACTCCTCATGCTCGCGTCCAGATCATGACCCTCGCCTTCCTCCTTCGCAGCATCGATCTCGGCGGCCGAGACGAACAGTTGAGATAATGGAACAGCGGTTGTCAAGACCAGCTTAGCCTGAACATCGTTGACGGAAAATTGTTTTTTTTTAGCTCTCGTTATCATGATTGTCCCACCACATATACACACACGCATACCGCACATGCGTCTCGGGATAGGAGCAGAAGGGGTAAAGGGGGAGAGGGGAGTTTATATTACGATGCACTTGCCTTACTTTCATAAGCTGCGTCTACAAATGTGATGAATCTCCTTGCGAGGTCTCTGCTCCTATGATCCATCCCTGGAACATCCGTGACAACAAACGTCTCATAATGGCTACATAGCTCAAGGTAATCGGCAGCGGACATGGGTTTCCCGCATAGGTCATCAAACGTGAATCGAGCAGCTTTGCCACTCGCTAAGGGGACCTTCACTTCCCTTCCCCAGATTCTGTGAGTGGCGGGATGAGGGAGGTCTTCGGAATCGCCGAGATAGCTAAACCATTTGTTAGCATGAGTCAGCGCATCCGGGCCGAGGCCTTGATGGTAGACGCCACTAGCGGGTCGGGGCATCTTTCGATAATCGGTGGGGGAATCCAGGTTAATAACCGTGAGTTTCGTTTTCAACAGCGTTATACAGGGGATAAAGGACTGCCTTTGGATGCCGTTTTTATACAGATCGTCCGGATGCCGATTGCTCGTTGCGACCATGACTACGCCATGGCTCATCAGGGACTCTAATAACCTTCTCAGAATCATTGCGTCTGCCACGTCCGTGCACTGGAACTCGTCGAAACACAGCACCGATCCGGACTCAGCTATATCTGCCCCAACGAATGGTATCGCATCGAAATCCGGGCCGTGTTGGAGCTTCAATTTGTGCAGTCGCTTGTGCACATCCTGCATGAAGTGGTGGAAGTGAATTCTGGTTTTAGACGTTACGTTTGATGGAAGCGTGTTATAGAACATGTCCATCAACATGGTCTTGCCCGATCCAACGTCGCCATAGAGGTATAGCCCTCGAGGGAGGTCTCCCGGAATTTGTGTTGATAGCGAGAGCGGTGGTTTATATCGGAGAAGTGTGCTGAGAAGCGACACCTTCGGAGGCGGGGCTAACGATTCGAGGGTGGGGTGTACGACACTTGGTGGTTTGTACACTTTGAGCTTCGTGTGAAGTTCCTGAAGCTCTTGCACAATGCCTGTTAATGGCCGGAGCCGCACCTGTCAGCAAGTAATCGCTTCACAACCCAATTCCCGGAGCTTTCCCAGTATACAACCCGAGAAGACTATCCGTTCACTCGCCTCTTTGATGTTGATCATCCCTCAATCGACCCTCAGCAACCCACATCTCGTACTGATCCAACGGACCAATCCTATAACCTGTTCCATCACCACCCTCATCATCAGCTTCCCAAACTCACCCCTTATGCAACTCGGAGAAGGCCATACCTGCCGCAACACCCTTGGCCCTCTCCAAAGTCTCTCTTAAACGACCCTCCCCACCATCGAACCCCATCGGTGGCCCTATGGACTCCAACTCCCGCTCGGTAACCAACTGCCCAAGACTCCTCCAGCTGCGTCGCACACATCGGGAAGGCGTATTGTGGAAATTTTTCAGACCCAGGAGGGTCCCCCTCTTTCGCAGCAGCTGTGGTAGTGGCGCGAGCCGCCGTGATCGCAATATTTGGCGAGTCGCTAACATTTTACTTTATTTTTTTCCTTCCTTCGATTGCTGCGTGCCCCACGCTGTCCGAATATGATGGCAGAATTGCCCAGACAAGACGGGGCAGAGAGGCAGCAGCAGTGGCCTCCGTGCTACGTTGTAGTGGTTGACCCTGTACGGCAGGACACGGTACGGTACTTAGCGTGTACAGTACTCGTATCGTGTGGAAAGGGAGGTAAAAAGGCTTTACGGGGGTGTGTGGTAGAGGAAAGGTTTAAGCCAGCGATGTGAAGAAAAAAAAAAAACTCCCTAGCGTACCGCACCCCCTCCGACATAGAAAGGGTCCTGCCCATTCCAGCCAGAAATTCCACCCACTCATCACTCGCCTTCGGAAGAAGCCCGGTTGCCAGGCACGGTCATCCGATCAAAACCCAGAATCAAGATCATATGATGTTTTGCTCTGCTTCCGTAATCTTTGAGTAAGCATGGCTGGGCGGGTATGATTGATAGCTCTTTCCATGGATCAATGGCTTTCCCACGCCGAAGTTAGCCGTGAGTGCTTGTATGATAAAACACTCTGGAAAGAAGGTGTTGTGCGCTGTATCCGCGTCTTCCCCTTCTTTCCGGGAAAATCCTCTTCACCGATTTTCACTCGGTTCCGCCGGATGTGCCCATCATTTTCCAGCAAGCTGAGGGAGGTTTTCGGCCCTGGTCCGTTATGATGCTATGATGCTAAACTCGACCAGCACCCGAGTTGAGTAGAGTACAATGCCAGGACTGTGCTCGAGTGCAAACTCTGGTCCATTCGTCCATTCGTCCATTCGTCCATTCGTCCGTCCAGCTATCCACCCATACCCAACGCCATCAGAACAGCTCAACTCAATTCCCCAGACAGCCTCTCCACAAAAAAGAAAATCGAACAATTCTGTGCTACCACATTATCCTCCACGTACCGTACCACCACCGAGTACCTCCTCCCCCGCCATAACCTCAACTCTGGCACTTGCCGGATCCTTCAGAGGGCGAGCCCGCCCGCATTCTGCCACCAACCGAATGGCCCATTCAAGACAGTGCTGTACGAGTACTTGTACTCGAGTACCCGTACAGAGTTAACCACGAAATGATCGTATCAAACCGACCTCCCCTCCCCTCCCTTTCCTCCACTTATCGGCAAAGCGAGTCTCCATCACGGGCAATACGGCTAGAGCATTTATAAACCCAAAGAGGCCAACATTTCCAATAATGGACTCATAGCGACGGCGCCGGTAGTAGCCGAAGCCAGACACAGACTGGGACGAACTGACCAATACGGTAGTAACCAAGGATGTTCGCGACCACCAGCAAAAAAAAAAAAAGGGAAAGTATCGCAGAAGCGCGGCAGCCAGTCAAGCAGCGTTGTATAAATGGATGCATCTCACCGGTATGCTGTGGGGTGCATACTTATTTGTACAATACGCACGGAGCAGACAGCGAGTCCTAAAAAAGAGAAAAAGAAAAAAGGAATCGAAAATCAGAAAGTGCACCCAATACCGGTAGTAGTACGAGCATGATGCTCACAATATCGACGTTTATAAAACGATCGCTATTGCGCACCGTACGATTTACATACGGGTACCTACCCCCGAAACCATGAGGCTCTAAGCAAGCAAAGCAAATCTCCCCTTCCGACAGTGCCGCACGGTTACGCGATAAGCAATCGGTCCCTTTTGCGATATTACCACCCAAACGTCACACATCACGAGTCTGATACAACCCCGTATTATGATACTGTACCAAACCTTCACTTTTGGCGATTGTAAGCTTTGGCACGTCAGCAACGCCCCCCCTCCCCGCAAGCTCGAGAAGGGACAAGAAAAAAAAAAGAAAAAAAGAATCCCATTTGACGAACGAAGAGAGCATGTTCAAGCCTCTGAGGTTCACCGTATCGTACGATACGTTATCATATCACAGGGGACCACCGTCACATCACATCACAACCGTCAGAATAACATCTCGTATCACTGCACAACCCCGCAGCGCCCACTGCCCAGTACGGTATCGGTATCATACATCCGCGGCGGACGCCACGCCGGGATGTTCTATTTTAATCCCGAGGATACCGGCAAGGTGCAGTACAATATGATTTTGCATTCGCTGCTAGGGTTTTCTTGTGCTCGTAGGTGGGTAGGTACGTACGTATGTAAGGTAGCCTTGCCTCGCCTTGCTCTGTTTTGCCTTGCCTCGCCATGCCTGCCGTACAATACCTGTTTCGCTCCGTTTCGTTTCGTTTCAGGAACTTGTGGAACTGTATTATACCGGGTACGGTATCGATGGATGGATAGACACGGTGTGGGTTCTGCATCTCCTGTTGTGCTGTACCGGTATTATATTCCAGTGAACGTTGGGGGGTTTGGAGGGGTTGGAGGGGAGGAGCGGGAGGGGAAAGAGCGGGGCAGAGTGGGTACCGGTACGGTGATGGCGCACCGCGATGGCTCTGTCCAGGAAGAGTGGTTGACGTAGTTATTTGACCATACCACCATTGTGAAAGTTGCCCAATACGGTACTACTCAGGTTGAAGCATATCATGACTCAGAAATGAAAACCACTCAGTTACTAGTTATATTGTATCCCTTGGGCGGTCGGAAACTGTAAAATTCGTAGCCAGGCACACAGTTTCTATTTTAAGTAAGACTATACCGAACATGGAAAGGCTGAAGAGTCATGTCACAACGTCAGTTCTCACCGATCAAAAATTGACTGCAGCAAAAGTCAACAAATTGCAAGAACACTTGCAATATCACGGAGCTAATTGTGTCCACTTACTATCTACAGTTCTCAGTAAGCCAGAGGTCAGCCATTGCCTGATTGCAGAACTGTGGTTGACGAGTTCACTTACTGTGTGCTATACCAAGCAAGACAGAGGTCAGTCATTTCCTTGTTCCAGTCTCATGGTTGGTCGGTTCACTTACAAACGACAATGCTCAGTGAGCCCGATGTCAGCCATTGCATCGTTGCAGAACCATGGTTGACAGTGTTCTCATATATGCTACAAGACTCACAAGCCAGAGGTTAATAGTTGTCTTGTTCCAGAACCATAGTTGGCCGTGTTCACTTACCAACTACATCACTTAGGGAGCCTAAGGTTAGCCATTGCTTCATCAGAGAACGATAGTTGATCGTGTTTGTTTACCGCCTACAAAGCTCATAAAGCCGGACGTTGGCCATTGCCTCATCACAGAACCATAGTTGAGAGTGTTCACTTACTACCTGTTACAATACTCGGTAAGCCAGAGGTCAGCCTTTACTACCTTATTACACAACTGTGGTTGATCGTATTTACTTACTGCCTATAATATATAGTGAGCCGGAGGTTAGCTATTACCTTATTACAGAATCCTGGTTGATCATATTCACTTACTACCTACAACACTCAGCAAGTCGGAGGTCAGCCTCTATCTTTCTGCAGAATCTTAGTTGATCATGTTCACTTACGGCCTATAGTACTCAGCAAGCTAGAAGTTGACTATTGTGTCAATACAAAACCATGGTGAATCATGTTCACTTATCACCTACAGCACTTGGTGAGCCGGAGGTCAGCCATTTCAATCGAAGGGTACCAAGAAGGCCAAGAGTACCAAAAGTCCAAGCACGAGTACCGCAGGAACCACAACAACCGTTATCTCAACTTGAACCTGAAGCAGTTCAGCAACCCTATATCCCACTTGGTCCTCAGCAGGATCATATCAGTCAGCCATTGCTACCTTGGACAGAGAGTGTAGCCAATCCACGGAGGATTTTTGAGCTGTTTTGGGATGATCGGGTGATTGGTTTGCTTGTGGAGGGAACAAATCAGTATGCTATGTAAAAGGGGGCAGGAGAAGGGATAAAGGATGGAAAACCATTTGGCCGTGAATGGAGAAAGGTAGTAGACCGGGAGGTACAACTCTTTTTAGCTCTCCTTATCTATATGGGAGTAAAGAGGGGTAGTGGAGTTGGACCCAAGAGCTTTTGGGATCGGAAGGAAAATGCGACACGGAAGTCAATCTTTAAAGTGATGGGCTTCAGGCGGTTTTGCCAAATCAAGAGATATCTGCATATCTCTGATCCAAAGCTACAGCTTACTCGTTCGGAGTGGTTTCAGAAGCTAGAGCCACTAAACACAATAATTCAGTCCCACTGTCAGCAATATTATCTTCCTGCATCAAATGTAACTGTTGATGAAATGATGATTTGCTTCGGGGGAAGAAGTCACCATACATACTGCATGTCTAGTAAACCGATCAGCGAGGGCTATAAGGTATTTGCACTATGTGATACTGGCTATACATATAGCTGGATATTTGCCTCTTGATCTGATTCGTTTACGGGACTTGTTCGTCAGGCAGATCTTACCGCAACAGGATCAACTGTATTTCAACTAGCCTGCTCTCTTCCATATCGCTCCAGACTTCATTTCAATATTTATATGGATAACTATTTTCCCTCTCTTGCACTTCTTACCAAACTTCGAGATATTGGTATCGGGGGCTGCGGAACTGCCAGGGTAAATGCGGGTGCCTTTCCACCAAGTCTCCATGATGACCGGAAACACATCCCATGGAACGAGGTGACAGGCGGGCCAGTTGGATGTGAAGGAAAGGTTTTAGGTATTCAGTGGCAAGATAATAGTGCAGTGCATTTTTTAACAACAATTCATACGCTGCACGAAAGGACTACTACTCAGCGGAAGAAGCCCAGGATCTCGAGTAGCAATGGACCCGCAATCCGGCATGTGTTTGGATCCGTTGAATGTGCATATGTTCCTATCCCTGTCATCACCAATGACTACAATCAATACATGACTGGAGTTGACGTTGCAGATCAGTACCGAAGTTATTACTTTACACAGTTAAAGTGTCTTCGTAACTGGCCTCCAATTTTCTATTGGTTAATTGATACAACTGTTATCAATTCATTCCTTCTTGCCCACCGTCTGCCTCTACCTTATCAGTATGATGGTTCCTTGTACAGCTTTCAGCTCAAACTTGCTGAGCAGCTTCTTGACTACTATGGAAAAAAAGATTTATTACCACGAAAGTCCTATTATTCACGGAAAACAACAACCCCCCGTTACAGTAAACTACAGCATCATACCTTTCTTTCTCTACCTAAAGGACCTCAATGCGATCACAAGTTCATCCGCCGAGGATCGTCCAAAGTTGGTTGCACACAATGCCGGTTCCTCCTACGAGAAAGTGGACAGAAAGGACGTCGTGCAACACTGACTCGCTTTGGATGTAATGGCCCTGGCTGCGGGTTTTCACTCTGTTTATGTTGTTATGACAGCAGACATAGAAGTCTTTCATCAGAATTATAGCTTTCTTTTCCAATCGTGATCTGAAATTATCCTTACTGTATCCTGTGGCACGAAATATTGGAATTG